AAGCCCCTGTGTCCAACCTGGCCTTGAACACTGCCAGGGATGGGGCAGCCACAGCTTCTCTGGGCACCCTCTGCCAGCGCCTCAGCACCCTCACAGGGAAGAGCTTCTGCCTAAGAGCTCATCTCAGTCTCCCCTCGGGCAGGTTAAAGCCATTCCCCTTGGCCTGTCCCTAAAGAGCCTTGTCCAAGGCCCCTCTCCAGGGGTAATCACATCTTTGTCAAACTTACCATGGTAGAACAAGAGTTCTAAAGTGAGAAAGCAGTTGTGTTCCTGCAGGGAGAATCCGTCTTACATCTGTAGTAGTACCTGTAGGTAGAACTGAACACGCTCTGTAGCAAAGTCAGGTTTAGCTTCACTAACCAAGTTGTAGTGCAAAACTGTGGTCAAGAAAGAGCCACTTGGATCAGCTTGGAACCTACTTAGAGATGAGATGTTGAATCAGTCACTTGGCTGAGGATGATCTCTAGGAGAACCCTAATGTTCCTTTGTGTTTTTGCAGTGGGACGATGAGACTGACATGGCAAAGATGGAGGAGTGTGTCCGGTCCATCCACATGGACGGCTTGGTGTGGGGAGCCTCCAAACTGGTCCCAGTAGGTTATGGCATTAAGAAACTCCAAATCCAGTGTGTGGTGGAAGATGACAAAGTTGGAACAGACATCCTGGAGGAGGAGATCACCAAGTTTGAAGACTATGTAAGTCTTGGGGCAAGCTGGGTGATGTCTGACCTATGGGGTCATTTTTAACTAAGGTGGTTCTGCAGATATTGCATAACTTGGACTTTTTATGGAAAAAATCATGGAATTGATGGTCTCTCCCTGCCGAGACACTTCTAAGTATAGAATCATGGAATCAAATAGGTTGGGAAAGCCCTTTAAGCCCATCAGTCCAACCATTCCCCAGCACTGCCAAGGCCACCACTAACCCATGGCACTGAGGCCTCGTCCCCACGGTGTGTGAACACTTGCAGGGACAGTGACTGCAGCCCTGCCCTGGGCAGCCTGTTCCAATGCCTGAGCACCCTCTGGGGAAGGAATTGTTCCTCAGCTCCACCTAAACCTGCCCTGGGGCAGCTTGAGGAAGTTTCCTCTTGTCCCATCCCTTGTTCCTTGGGAGCAGAGCCCAGCCCCTCCTGGCTCCATCCTCCTCTCAGGCACTTGTAGGGAGTGATGAGGTCCCCCCGTGAGCCGTCTCTTCTCCAGACTGAACCTCCCAGGTCCCTCAGCCCTTCCCCATCACACTTGTGCTCCAGGCCCTGCACCAGCTCCGTTGCCCTTCTCTGGCCCTGGTCCAGCACCTCAATGTCTCTCTTGTAGTGAGGGGTCCAGCGCAGAACCCAGGATTCAAGGTGCAGCCTCACCAGTGCCCATCACAGGGGCACAGTCCCTGCCCTGGCCCTGCTGCCACACTGGTTCTGGTACAGACCAGGATGCTGATGGCTTCTTGGCTGCCTGGGCACAAGGTGCTCATGCTCAGCTCCATCAGTCAGCACCCCCAGGTCCTTTTCCCTGAGCAGTTTCCAGCCACTCTTCCCCAAACCAGGAGCATTCCATGAGGTTGTTGTGACTGAAGTGTAGCACTTTGCACATTGAACCTCATCCCACTGACCACAGCCCATGGATCCAGCATGGCCAGATCCCTCTGCAGCGCCTCCAGCAGATCAGCACTCCAACTGCCCAACAACAGCTGAGCCCTGAGGGACACCACTAGTGACCAGTCACCAACTGGAGCTGTCTCCATCCCCATTCTTCTCTCTGTGGAGATGATTTTAAGAGCTCCAGCTCTGTGCCAGTTGATGCACAGGCTCAGTACAACTTAGTCTCACTGTTAGTGACATGGCTTGGCAGTGGCCTTGTTATGTTAGTCCTGGTTGAACTTGATGATCTTAAAGGTCTTTTCCAGCCTGGTTGACTCTGTGTTGAGAGAGCACCATGGGTTTATTAATCTTTGCCTACTCTTCCTTATATTTAATCAGGAACTTTTGCTCTTTCATCTTCCTGTTCCCAGAAACTTAGTTCTTCACAGGCTGAGCCATCTAAAGACTCCTGCAATGACCAGCACAGCATCCTGTTGTGACTGGTGTCACCAAGAACATTCAAGTAACACCCCTTAAACATCTTACCACAGCTTGGAGCTGATCTAAGGGACCTGGGCTGTGCTTTTGACCTGATTGAGCATCACTTGTGCATGTTGTGAAGGAATCCCTTCTCCAAGAGCTTTATTAATGCCTGAAACCACGTTGGTGACCTCTAAGCTGCTGTTTTTGTTCCCTTTCAGGTGCAGAGTGTTGACATTGCTGCTTTCAACAAGATCTAGAAGAAGAAACTGTATCTACCCCCTCTGAAACTGTAACTAATAAAGATGGAGATTGGGAGTGCAGATTGGGGTGGTTTTCTCTGCCAAGTGCAGCTTCTCCAGAGGGATTTGTTGGGAAGCTTTGGGATATTTCCCTTTGTAACAGCCCTTAGGGGTTGAAATTAACATCGGAGTGGTAGCCTGTGCGGAGGGGGCTACCAAATTGGGATCCCCCTGCATCGGACTGAGTCAGCAGGGAAGGATCCAGGACTTGCTGTTTCAGGGCTGAATTTCCTCCCTCTTTTCCCCTTGTTGCTCTTTCTATCCTGCACAGTTGCTTCAGCTGATCATTGGGTTCAGGAGGAGCCCTGTGGAAAGGGGAGGTGCCATTTCTGGGCTCTCTCACTGTGCCAGAGGCCAGAGGCCAGGCTGGAGTCACACAGGGAGCAAACGGGAGGTGACAATGGCTCCAGTGCCGGTGTGCTACCTGGTGTGGCTGCTTTGGGCCTGGTTGGTGGCATGGCAGGTGCTGGGGCTGATGCACTTGGTGCCTGTTGCACACACTGTCCCTTGTCCCTGTGTTGCTGGGGCTGGTGTTTTGTCCCAGCTGGTGTGTGATGTGTCCTGTGCTGCTTGTTGGGCTCTCGGGTGTCCCTCTTGTCTCACGCTGCCGTCCCCAGAGTTCCATGTGATAGCTGGGGCCACGTGTGCCTGCTGCTAGCCATGCAGTGTCCCATCAACCTGGTCCTACGTGCCCTGTGTCGCTTGTGTGCTGCCATCGCAGGTGCCCTGTGTCCCTATACCACCCATGATCAGTGCACCACAAGCCTGGTGCTTTGGGCACCCTTCTGTGTCTGGGTATCCCGTGTTCCGTCCTCCCTGGACCATTTGTCCCTTAAGCCACCAGTGTCCCATATGCCTGGTGCTAGGGGTGTTGGGTGTCCTGAGTACCCAGTGTGCCATCTGCCTATGTGCTGCCACCCATGGTGTCCAGTGACCTCTCTGTGCTGCCATCCCTATGTCCCCATGCGCCCTTGTGTGCACCCACCTCTGGTGCATGTGTGTGCCATGTCCCTGTGTGCTGCCATCCATAGTGCCCTGTGTTCTGCCATCGCTGTGTGTCCCATGTGCTACTCTCCCTGTGCCTCATCTCCCCTCTGTGTTGATACCCTTGTGTCCTATGTCCCTGTATGCCCCGTCCCGTCGCTGCTGCCATCCCTGTATCCCTGTGTGTCCGGTGTCCTCGGGTGCTCCATCCCTTGTGTCCGATGTCCTCATCCCTGGTGCCCTGTAACCCCTGTGTCCTGTATCCCCCTCCCTGCATGCTCCCATTCGTGTTGCCATGTGTGCTGCCATCCCTGCACCGTTTCCCCTCTGTGCTGCTGCCCTGTGTGTCCTTGTATCCCTGTGTGCTCCAGCTCCTGTTGTCCGGTGTTCCCATCTGCTGCTGTCCTTGAGTATCTGGTCCCCTCTGTGCTGCTGTCCCTGGTGCCACGTGTGCCCCATTTCCCCTCTCTGCTGCCATCCCTCTGTGTCCGGTGTCCCAACGTGCCGCATCCTCGTGTGTCCGGCATCCCCTGCATTCTGCCATCCCTGTGTGCTACTCTCCCTGTGCCTCATCTCCCCTCTGCATTGACACCCTTGTGTCTTATGTCCCTGTATGCCCCATCCCCTCTCTGTGCTGCCATCCTTATGTCTCTGTGTGTTTGGTGTCCCCAGGTGCTCCATCCCTGTGTGTCCGATGTCCTCATCCCTGGTGTCCTGTGACCCGTGTGTCCCCATGTGCTGCCATTCATGTTGCCATGTGTGCTGCCATCCCTGCACCATTTCCCCTCTGTGCTGCTGCCCCATGTGTCCTTGTGTCCCTGTGTGCTCCATCTCCCGTTGTCCAGTGTTCCCACGTGCTGCTGTCCTTGAGTGTCCGGTCCCCCGTGTCCTGTGTTGCCATCCCTGGTGACATGTGCGCCCCGTTCCCTCCGTGTCCAGTGTCCCAACGCGCCGCATCCCCTGTGTTCTGCCATCCCTGCATGCCCTGTGTCCCTGGCTGACGTGCAGATAGATTCCACAGCTCATTAAAGTTGTAAAGTAGGTATGCTTTATTCAGCGCTGAGGCGCACGGGGGATTGCTCCTCCAAAGGCTTTTTTGTCGTTTCCTCTTTACATTTCTCTCCTAAAGTTATACATATGCATGAGGTTGCACAACACGCCTATACATATTCATGGCCTATCCCTGCTTCGTACAAGTCCTTTGCGCCTGCACAGTGCCTCCTGGTGGTCGTGGGCGAGGGTCTCAAGATGAAGTAAACGAGTCTTCCTCGCGCCTGAACTTCTCAGCCGTTACGCTTGCTCCCTGAAGGCTTGGTGAGAGCCACTCTCCGCCTGCCTGGGCGTCCAACGGACGGGAACCAAGTCACGGTCCCTCCCTCTTCCCCACAGCCACGTCCTCCCATCTCGTCCTCGCACTCACGGCGAGTGCTGATAAGCGTGAACGAGCCGTAGCACCGTTAAGCAAGCGGCTTGATCTGCCCCCTTGTACGACAGGCACAAGCGAGCAGCTTGACCTTCCCCCCCCCCCACCCCGTACACGGGTCACCCCTTCGCCTTCCTCCGCTGTGCGGGGCCGTGTCCCCGCTGCACCGTGCGCCCACCGCCCGGCTCCCTTCCTCCTCCTCCTCCTCCTCCTCCCTCCGGGCCGCCGCGCTCCGCCCGCTGCTCCCAGGCTGCCCCGCGCGGGGGGGGGCCATGTCTCCGCTCACCGACCTCTACCAGCTCACCATGGCCTACGGGCACTGGCGGGCCCGGCGCCACCGCGCCCCGGCCGCGGCCGAGCTCTTCTTCCGCCGCGGGCCCTTCGGCGGCTCCTTGGCGCTGGGCGCGGGCCTGGGCGAGGCGCTGCGCTGCCTGCGGGCCTTCCGCTTCTCCAACGCGGGTGCGTGAGGGAGTGGGGAGGGGGGCACGGCGGGGGCAGCAGCTGAGGAGGGCACGGAGCTGCTGCGAGGGCTGGAGCAGCGCTGCCATGGAGCCAGGCTGAGAGAGCTGGGCTGGGGCAGCCTGGAGAAGAGAAGGCTCCTGAAGGGGAGACCTGAGAGCAGCTCCAGTGCCTAAAGGGGCTGCAGGGAACCTGGAGAGGGGCTTGGGACAAGGGATGGAGGGACAGGCCAAGGGGAATGGCTTTAACCTGCCCGAGGGGAGACTGAGATGAGCTCTTAGACAGAAGCTCTTCCCTGTGAGGGTGCTGAGGTGCTGGCACAGGGTGCCCAGAGAAGCTGTGGCTGCCCCATCCCTGGCAGTGTTCAAGGCCAGGTTGGGCACAGAGGCTTGGAGCACCCTGCTCTAGTGGAAGGTGTCCCTGTACATTGAACTGGATGGGCTTTAAGGTTCCTTCCAACCCAAACCATTCCATGATTCGATGTCCAGCGGGACATGGGGGGCAGTGGACATGAACAACGCTCAGGGAAACACAGGAGGCCCTCCATGAGAACAGAAGGGACTCCCTCCAGGGGTAACCTGCCCCCCAAGTCCCCCCTATTTCATCACATCCCTTACTGGCTGCTGTTTAGTGCCCCCCGCCTATAAGGGACATGTCCCTGGGCACCCCCGGTCCTCACCAAGCTCTGCCCCTGCAGACGTTGCCTACCTGCGCTCCGTGCTGCCCAGCACCACCGAGGACGCCTTCTTCGAGTACCTGTCCACGCTGGACGCCTCCGAGGTGACCGTGTCGGCCGCGCCGGAGGGCTCTGTCGTCTTCCCCAGGGTGGGCCATGCTCGGTCCCCTCCCGTGCTCTGCAGGGGCTGCGGGGCCTCTGGCTCCCGCATCCCTGAGGAGGACGGGAGCTCAGCGCCGAGGTGTCCTCGCAGGTCCCGTTCCTGCAGGTGAAGGGGCCGCTGCTGGTGGTGCAGCTGCTGGAGACCATGCTGCTGTGCTTGGTCAACTACGCCAGGTAGGGACGCGTCCTGCTCCGGGCACCCCGCTGCTGGGGACAGCAGCATCTCCTCCGGGGACCACAGGGGACCACATCCCTTGTGGTTGAGTGGAGAAGGTGCTGAAGCCCCCCTCCTCTGCTCTTGGCTGTGTGCTGGCTCCGTGTTCAGCCTGGCTTGGTGGGACCTGTCCCTTCCTCCCGTAGCCTGGTGGCCACGAACGCTGCCCGCTTCCGCCTCCTCGCTGGTCCAGACGTGAAGCTGATAGAGATGGGGCTCCGCCGCGCGCAGGGGCCGGATGGTGCCCTTTCAGCATCCAAGTACTCCTACATCGGGGGTGAGTGAGGCCCTGGGGTGCCCGGTGGCACCGTGGCCGTGTCATTAACTGGTGTGTCCACCCCATCCCTCCTCACAGGCTTCGACAGCACCAGCAATGTCCTGGCGGGGAAGCTCTACGACATCCCGGTGCGTGGCACCATCGCCCATTCCTTCATCATGTCCTTCACCTCCCTGGAGGAGGTGCAGCCCCGGGTGAGCATCGCTGCGGGCAGGGAATGGGGATGGGATGGACATGAGATGGGGTGGGGTGGAGATGGGGATGGTATGGGGATGGAGGTGGGAATGGGAATGAGATGGGGATGAGGATAGTATGGGAATGGAGATGGGGTGGAGATGGGGATAGGGATGGGGTGTGGATGGAGGTGGGAACGGGAATGAGATGGGGATGAGGATAGTATGGGAATGGAGATGGGATAGGCATGAGATGGGGATAGGGATAGGATGGGGATGGAGGTGGGAATGGGAATGAGATGGGGTGGGGTGGAGATGGGGATAGGGATGGGATGGAGGTGGGAATGGGAATGAGATGGGGATGAGGATAGTATGGGAATGGAGATGGGATAGGGATGAGATGGGGTGGAGATGGGGATAGGGATGGGGTGGGGATGGAGGTGGGAATGGGAATGGAGATGGGATAGGCATGAGATGGGGATAGGGATGGGATGGGGATGGAGGTGGGAATGGGAATGAGATGGGGTGGGGTGGAGATGGGGATAAGGATGGGATGGAGGTGGGAATGGGAATGAGATGGGGATGAGGATAGCATGGAAACGGAGATGGGATGGGAATGGAGATGGTATGGCGATAGTATGGGAATGGAGATGGGATGGGGACAGGGATGGTAAGGCGATAGTATGGGAATGGAGATGGGATAGGGATGGTATGGGAATAAAGGTGGGATAGGGATGGTACATGAATATTGATGGGATAGGGATGAGATGGGGATAGGAATGGAGATGGGGACGTGATGCTCTGCCCATGGCACCGTGGAGGATGCAAAGCCCATGTTCTCCGGGCAGGAGGTGCTGCCGCAGGCAGGAGGAGAGCCAGTGGATCTCGTGGCCCTGGCCGTGTCCTGGCTGCAGCGGGTGTGTGAGCTGCTGCAGACCCCTCCTGAGAGGGCGAACCAGGGGGAACTGGCTGCGTTCGTGTCCTACGCCATCACCTTCCCCAGTAACTTCCAGGGGCTGCTGGACACCTATTGTGTGAGGAGGTGGGAATGCCGAGTCCCACGGCGGGGCTTTATTGCTGTGGCAGAGGGGATGGGAGCATCCCTCCTTGCTTGGTGGCCTTCAAGCACGGATAGAATCATAGATACCTACACTGGTGAATTCTGCCTTTATAGAACCACAGAATGGTTTGGGTTGGAAGGGGCCTTAAAGCTCATCCAAGTCCAACCCCTGCCACGGGCAGGGACACCTTCCACTAGAGCAGCTTGCTGCAAGCCCCTGTGTGCAACCTGGCCTTGAGCACTACCAGGGATGGAGCATTTACCACTTCCTTAGGCAGCCTGTTCCAGTGTCTCACTGTAAAGAATTCCTTCCTTATATCCAACCTAAATCTTCCCTGTTTCAGTTGGAACCTATCATCCCCTCTCCTATCACTCCAGTCCCTCTCCAGCACCCCTGTAGCCCCCTTCAGACACTGGAAGCTGCTCTGAGGTCTCCACGCAGCTTCTCTCCTCCAGACTGAACAGCCCCAATGTTCTCAGCCTGGCTCCATACAGGAGGTGCTCCACCCCCTGAGCATCCTCATGGCCTCCTCTGGACTTGCTCCAACAGCTCCATGTCAACATAAGAAGGACACGGAGCTGTTGGATTTCCACCTGCAGCATTCCCAAGCTTCAGTGTTGCCTGATGGACCTGCTGGATCCATCCTAGGTCCCTGTCCCCCACTCCAATGAACATTAACCCTCTCTTCCTCCATCCCAGGAGCGGGTTGCCCAACTTCTGTGCGGTGGCGCTGGCCCTGCAGCAGCTGGGGTACCGTGCCATCGGCGTGCGCCTGGACAGCGGGGACCTGGCCAAGCAGTCCAAGGAGATCCGCCGGGTGCTGCGAGCCTGTGGTGCTCAGTGAGTCCTGCACCAACCCCCGGCTGGGTGCCACCGGCCCTGGCTTCACCACCCGGGTCATGGGGCGATGGGAGCAGAGTTCTGGGTCCCCCAAACCCTTCACCCCATCCCTTGTTCCTCACCAGCTTCCAGGTGCCCTGGTTTGAGACCATCCCCATCGCCGTCAGCAACGACATCAGTGAGCAGAGCCTGGAGGAGTTCAGCAGGGAGGTGAGGTGGCTCCTCACCGTGGCCTTTGCTGAGGTTTGGGGTGGATGCGAGTCACTGGGGACGTTCTCCCTGGGTGAGAACAGAGAAGAGTTTCCAGGGTAGGAAAAACAGGGCTTGTTTGGGTGGGATGGACGGACAGACAGATGCCTCTGGGCAGAGCCGTGCCCCATGGCTCTTGTTCTGATGGGTTTTTCATGATCCCCGTCTTCCCTTTGCACCAGGGGAGTGAGATTGATATGATCGGCATTGGGACCAACCTGGTGACGTGTCCCCTGCAGCCATCCCTGGGCTGTGTCTACAAGGTAGAGGTGGCAGCAGCTCTTGGTCCTGCTTGGCCTGGGGGGCTCCCTGGGATCTCCTGGGCTTTGCAAGGCTAGGGATGAGGAGTGAAGGGGGATCCATCATCCAGCTCCAACCCCTGCCACTAGAGCAGGGTGCTCCAAGCCCCTGTGTCCAACCTGGCCTTGAACACTGCCAGGGATGGGGCAGCCACAGCTTCTCTGGGCACCCTGTGCCAGCGCCTCAGCACCCTCACAGGGAAGAGCTTCTGCCTAAGAGCTCATCTCAGTCTCCCCTCTGGCAGGTTAAAGCTATTCCCCTTGGCCTGTCCCTACAGGCCCTTGTCCAAAGCCCCTCTCCAGGTTTCCTGCAGCCCCTTTAGGCACTGGAGCTGCTCTCAGGTCTCCCTTTCATGGACATAACATTGATGAGTGCACCGCAGTGAGGAGCTTGCAGACAAATGGCCAACTCTGGGGTGGTTTGAGGGTTCTTTTATCATGTCTTCAGCTGGTTGTTGCGCCAGTGGCCTTCCCAGCTCATGGGGACACTCACAGAGGGCACACAGCTCAGCAGGTCTTCAGCACCACCCTGAATCGGTGCCTGTGACAGAAATCAGGTGCCCATCCCCTTAATCGCCTTCTCCTGCAGCTGGTGGAGGTCAATGGCTCCCCGTGCCTGAAGCTGACAGAAGATGAGGAGAAGATGACAATCCCAGGGACTAAGATGATCTATCGGCTCTCTGATGCAGCTGGTGAGTCGGGCTGTCCTTGTCCCTGTCCTACCCCCTTAACCTGTGTCCCCAGTCCTGCTCCATAACCCTGTCCCTGATGCCCTGTGCACCCTGGTCTCTAACCCGGTCCCCCCCTGCAGGTCACCCCTTCATGGACCTCATGGCGCTGGAGGAGGAGCCCTCACCCAGAGCAGGGCAGGAGCTGGTGGTCCGTGTCCTGGGGCAGCTTGGTGAGACCAGCAAGGTCGTGCCCAGCGCCGTGGAGCCCCTTCATCGCACCTACTTCAGAGATGGGCAGGTCAGGGGTGGCTCTGCTGGTCCTTCATGTTGGGTGAAGGACCAAGCCAGGGTGGTGGTGTCTTGGCCACCATGGATCAGACAGTTAAATCCCTGTGTTTCCTTGCATCTGAGATGGTCCCAGCTCCAACCAAGGTGCCACCAAGCACATGGTGCCATCAGAGTCCAGCCTGGAGCTGGCTCACTGGGGCTTGGTGACCATCTGCCCCCCATGGTCCTGGTGATACATCTCTATCCTTGTAGGTGTGTGAGCCCCTGCCCAGCCTGACCGAGGTGAGGACCCACGCTCAGGTGTCCCTTGGCCTCCTCAACCCTGCTCACCGCCGGCTCCATGACCCACAGCCCTACCTGGTACATCCATTATGGCACCATCAATCCACACCCAGGAGCCCTGCCCAGCACTGGAGGCCTGAGCCTGGCTCCACCAGAGCATGGAGATGGGGCTGCACGTCCCCATAGGGCTCATTGTCCACTCTTGCTCCCGTGTAGGTGGCTGTGACAGAGAAGCTGCACCAGCTCCTCACCACGCTGCAGCAGGCCAGCCAGTGAGGAGGTCCCTGCTCATCCCCTGCTTGGGACCAGCTCTTCTTCATGCTCTTTTGAAGGCCAAGTGAATACATTGGGAATCAGTGGCTTCAACAGCTGTGTGTGTGCTGCTCAGCTGGAGACCTGGCAGGAACTGGAAGAGCACCCAGAGATCCCTAAGCTGGGATGAGGCAGGTGGAGCTGGGAGGTCCTTCCCTGCCCACCCTGGGGACCCTGCACCTTCTCCCATGATGGTGCTGCCAAGATCAGTGCTCCTGCAAACCCTGTGCCTTCTGTTGTGGCAGCATTGCCTCACATCATGCCAGCCCTGCACCTTCAGTGGTGGCAGCTCACACTGAAGCTCCTCAGTGGCACTAGAAACCAAGTCCTAAGTGCACAAGAAGGGGTCCTACCATGGGAATGTCCTCTGGGACATCCCTGGCAGATGCACTTTGCCCTTTCTCTTTAGGCTTTGGCTCTGTGGCTACATTCCATCTCTTCCCCTTTTACATGGGGGTGGAGGTCACCTCCTGGTTGATGCCAGTTCCATATTGGCACCTGCACTCTGCAACCTGATGTTCCTTAATCCCTGGAATTAGCTTTATTCTATGCAAGAGATTAATAAAAGCCTTTACCCAACTACAGCCACCCCATGGGGCTGTCCTGGTCCTTCCAAACACTTGTGGCCTTCAACTGGAATGTAACATCCTTCACTTCACTGTTTATGACTGAATAAAGGTGGCATGAAAAGCAAGTGTTGAGCTATGAGAGCAGCTGGAGGTGACCCCAGCTGCCGCATGGCATCCTATGGGGATGCTGTTGTATTCTATGAACCTAATTCCAATGAAAATCCCATTGTAGCTCCACTGGGGCAGGGTCAATGAGTGGCTTCAGCAAGACAGGGTCAAGAAAAGCTGGGGATGGAATGGGAAAGAAGCCTGCAGAGACTTGATCTCCCTGCCCCATCCCTGGCAGTGTTCAAGGCCTGGTTGGATGGGGCTTGGAGCAAGCTGCTCTAGTGGAAGGTGTTCCTGCCTGTGGCAGGGGTTTGGAACTGGATGAGCTTTAAGATCCCTTCCAACCCAAACCATTCCATGTTAAATCTGCAACAGGGAGATAGTAAATCCTTTCCCCCGAGCTTGTAAAATGTACAGACCCAAAAGTGTCACATACCCATGGAAAAGGTGGAGCAAGGACAAGAGGCAAATGCCCAACCACCCACCTGCATCATCCACCCTACGAGGAACAGTTGTGGTTTAGATCTTTGCAGCACACACTGAGAAGGGGAAGAACTTAACAGAGCTTAACAAAGCCCTGGGTGACGGTCACTTGCTTCCAGACAGGGCTGGAGGTCGCTGGTGCAGTGCTCCAGCTGTGGCACTGGGTCACACTGAGCATGCTAAGAGAGAAACCACAGAACCCCAGGAAAACCAGGAATAGTTTGCTATTAAAAGTTACATTTTCAGAGCAGAATCCCCAGAGATTGACAAGTCCAAGCCCAGCGTACCTGAGTCGAGATGGGCCTGAGGTCTAAGGAGATGACTGAAGAGCAGCCTGAAGCAGGGGAAGGCAGTGAGCTTCAGCACCCTCAGCCCTCTGCGTGGCCACAGAGGAGCAGCTCATCAGTGCAGGAGAAGGGTAAACCCATCCTTGATGATCTGCTCTCCCCTAACCCTTGTCAGGCTCCACCACTGGTGCTTTGGCTTTGTCCAGACCCATTCTGGGTAGTTCCAAGGATGGAGAATCCATGACTTCTTTGGAAGCCTGGACCAGAGTCTGTCATCCTGATGGTGAAGAAGCCTTCCATGATGTTGAGGGAACCTCCTGGGTTTCTCTTTGCGCCCTGGGGCTCTGGTTCCATCACTGGGCACTATGGAGAAGATCCTGTCTTCTTTGCACCCTCTCTTCAGACACTGATGAGTTTCCCTGGAGCCTTCTCCTCTCCAGGCTCAACAGTGACAACTCTGAGTGTTTCCTCATGGGAGAAATGCTCCAGTCCATCTTCACGGCCCTTCATTGGACTCTCTTCATCCCTTGTACTGGGGAGCTCCAAATGGGATCCAATACTCCAGTTGTGGCCTTATCCATGCTGAGCAGAGGAGAAGGATCATCTCCCTCACCTCCTGGCACCACTATTGCAGCTCAGGACATTGTCCACCTTCTCTGTCCTCATGGTCAACTTAGGGTTGAGACTCAAATGCTCAACAGAGACAGTTAGAAGCTGAATTGACATTTAATGCGTGGTAACAACCTGGGGCCATCACATACAGACAGGAGACACCCCAGGAAGCAGCTGCAACTGTCGGGCTGTTGAGGTCCCCTTTAGCATCACAACCTCTGCTGTCAACCAAAAGAGAAGTTAAAGCTGCACCCTGCATTAAAGAGGGAAGATAAAGAAGAGGAGGGGGATTCCAGCTGCACATCTGGGGCTCCTGGATACATCCATTGAAGATCTGGGATCATCACTGACTCCTCTAACAGCTTCCTCCTGTTGTGACAGCATGAGCTTAATGGCAGAGAAGCTCCAGTGTGCACATTTATTGAGTTGAAGGAATAACAGTTCCCAGCCTGAGACCTTTCTCCAGTCACAGCAAAGCCAAGAGTGCTCCTTTCTGCCCTTGGAGTTCTGTTACAGGTCTTTGGATCTCAGGAGTGGGTGCAGAGATGAGACAGAAAGTGCTAAAAGTGAGGTTAAAACACCCCATCAGGCAGCAGTAGTGCAGCCTTTGCAAGAAAGAGGAAGTAAAACACATTGTTCCTCTGTTCTATCTTTCTTCCAGTTTTGTTCTGGAGAGAAACATGGATTTAAAAGCCTATTTGCAGCTCAAGACATCCAGTGACCTCATGCTTGAAAACAGGGATGGTGGGTACAAGTACCAGAGTTTAGTGCTGGATAAGGGAAGTGCAACCACGTCAGGGACCCACTTTTAGGTGTGGGGCACATCCCAGACCTCAAGAAACCCTCATCCTGACCCATCTCTTCACAATGTGGTGCAGTTCACAGCTCCTGGGTTTCTCACTGCACAAGTCCATGTGAAGACGGGTTATTCAGGATAATGCTGTGGGGTTTTGTGCTCCTTGCAAACCTGAGGAGAACCATTCATGTCTTGATTAAATACTGGTCCTCAGCTTGATAACTGTCCATGTTTTCCTTAAATGCTGGTCCTTATCACTGGAAGGGAGAAAAGGACGTTGGGGAAGACTCTGAGGTAGGGCAGAGCTACAGAGTGGGGAGGAAAGAGGGCGGAAAGGGAAGGGAGGAAAGAAGAATGAATTTGAGTGTAAAGAATCCAGAATCCAGGTCTGCTGGAAGTACAAACTCTCACATGACAGGATTTAACTAACCCAGGCTGCTGTGGGCACCTTCATACCAGACACCGGCAGAGGCAAGAAGAGGCTCAAGTGCACGTTTGGTGTACCCAGACTTGGCTGCTCTCCCTGGTGCCAGGCTCCAGGGCTGATCCATGTTCATGTTTCCAACACCTCAGTGCTCTGCAGCACCAGGGTCACTTGTAAAGTGCCATCTTCTTGCTCTGGTACATGTACATGTAGGCATCACAGAAGAGGCGCTTGGCCACTCCATCCATGTCCCGAGGCTGCTTCAGAGCCAGCACAGCCAGTGGCAAGTCCAAGTACTTGGCAACTTCAGGGCACAGTGTTACTGTGGGAATGTTGAAGCCATTTTCACCACCTAAGAGAGAAAGGAGAAGGAAAGTCCAAACCAGGTTCTAAGGGACCTAAGGGTTCAAACTTAAACAGGAAGTTCAGGTCTAACTTCAAGTTCTTTAAGGGTTCTTTAAGGAAGAAGTTCTTTACTGCAGAGGGGCTATAGGGATGCTGGGGAGGGACTGTTCGTTAGGGACTGTAGTGATACGACAAGGGGTAACGGGTTAAAACGTAAAGAGGGGAAGATTAGATTGGATATAAGGAAGAAATTCTTTACTGTAAGGGTGGTGAGGCACTGGAATGGGTTACCCAGGGAGGTTGTGAATGCTCCATCCCTGGCAGTGTTCAAGGCCAGGTTGGACAGAGCCTTGGGTGACATGGTTTAGTGTGAGGTGTCCCTGCCCATGGCAGGGGGGTTGGAACTGGATTATGTTAAGGCTCTTTCCAACCCTAACTATTCTATGATTCCACTGTGAGGGTGCTGAGGCACTGGAACAGGTCACCCAGATAAGTGGTGAATGCTCCATCCCTGGCAGTGTTCAAGGCCAGGTTACACAGAGCCTTGGGTGACATGGTCCAGTGTGAAGTGTCTCTGCCCATCGCAGGGGTTTGGAAGTGGATGATCTTAAGGTCCTTTCCAACCCAAACCATTCTATGATCACACTCAACACTCAACATGGTGCCCCAACCTGAGAGCTCTGGAGGTCAACACCAAAGTGGGGACGTGTCCTCACCGTGCCTGTCAGCCATGCTGTCGAAGAACATCCAGTGGTCATTCTCAGGGCCATACTTCACAAAGGAGACATAGTGACTGGTCTCGATGCAGAGCACTGCAAAGAGCTCCATCTTCTCATGAGGGACCTGCTGGCAGCCCCGGGTGCTCCGGGTGTGGAATTCCTCTGGGATGTGAAGCTCTCTCGGCTTGTGCGTTTTGCGGTGGTAGTGGGAGTGAACCTAAGGAGAGAGGATTTGAGGGGTTGAACGTGGATGATCTTAAGGTCCTTTCCAACCCAAACCAGCCTGTGATGGGGGGGCACTGCTGAGAGGGCAGAATTGAACTTGTCCTGCCACAAAAAGGCGGATGCAGGGGTCAGGACCCCAGTTCATTCCCTGCTGATCTGACTCTCATGGTCCTGCGTGGTAGGGAATGACATTGCCTCATCAGGCTTCACAGAGTCATGGAATCTATGAATTACAGATTCCAGTTTCAAGCCCCTGCCATGGACAGGGACACCTTCCACTAGAGCAGGGTGCTCCAAGCCCCTGTGTCCAACCTGGCCTTGAACACTGCCAGGGATGGGGCAGCCACAGCTTCTCTGGGCACCCTGTGCCAGTGCCTCAGCACCCTCACAGGGAAGAGCTTCTGCCTAAGAGCTCACCTCAGTCTCCCCTCCGGCAGGTTAAAGCCATTCCCCTTGGCCTGTCCCTACAGGCCCTTGTCCAAAGCCCCTCTCCAAGTTTCTTGCAGCCCCTTTAGGCACTGGAGCTGCTCTCAGGTCTCCCCTTCAGGAGCCTTCTCTTCTCCAGGCTGCCCCAGCCCACCTCTCTCAGCCTGGCTCCAGAGCAGAGCTGCTCCAGCCCTCGCAGCATCTCCGTGGCCTCCTCTGGACTTCTCCAACAGCTCCACGTCCCTCTTGTGCTGTTGCCCCCAGAGCTGGATGCAGGACCCCAGGTTTGGCAGCAAGAAGCTGAGAAGTGAACTTGCCACCCTCTAAGGTGGGTGAGAAAGCTGCTGCTCCTGGTGGGACAGCATGGAGGGCTCAGTGCTCTCTTTGTGCTTATTTAGGCTCTGTGTAAGCAGAGGGTTCAGTAACGTGTGGCACCTAACCACATGCTGCTGATGTGATGCTCAGGCAGAAGCCCTGAACATTCCTTCTGAAATGCTGCAGGGACAGCATGGGTAATGAGGGAATTCTGAGCGGTTCAATCTGCTGTTAGCACCAAAGCAGGTTTGATAAGCATCCAAAGAAGATATTACCTGTCTGGAGCAGGAGCTGCAGAACTGCTTCAGGCCTGTAGCTGCAAACACCTTGTCTTTGAAACACTCTGAACACTCCAGGGTGGCAACATCTCCACACAAGCAGCATTCCCTGGGACCTGCAGGAGAACAGGGGTGAGGAAATAGCTCTACTCCAGATCTCACCTGAAATCCAGCTTGTCCTGCCAAAAACCGGTGTTCAGGGAAGTAGAATCATATCATGATCCCACCCCACATCTGCTCCCAACCCAGAGAGGTGAGACCTGTCACCTGGCTCCTCACAGGCCCAACCAGCAGCTTTAACACATCCCAACTTACTGTCAAGCAGCAGATCTGTTATATCCAGCTCTAAGGAAGGAATGATTTTGCTGAACATTTTGTATTCCTTTCCAAAACGTGGCATTTGGATTATGAAGCATGACGGGATCTGGGAAAAGAAAAACAAAGAGGTCACCCTGTGAGAAGAACCAAACTCCAAAGACTCTCCTCTCCACATCACTGCTGGGAGTAAAGGCTTTTGCTCTGGGTCACAAGATGAAATGGCAACAGGGAAAACACAGCCCGCTTCCCAGGTCATGCTGAGATTCCCAAGGCTCTTGTGACTGCATCCTGCTTCTTTGTAGTGTTGGATATCAGACTCCAGGATATCAGGCACAAGTGTGTTGGAGGAAGCAAGAAAGAGGCAGCAGAGAGCAGTGTAGGCAGAAGGCTCTGGGCTCACCTCCACTAGCTTCAGATCAGAGGACAGGAAGGAGCGTTCCACTAACTGCTGCACGTCAGGAACCACCAGATCCTCCTGTTTGTCCATAAATATCTGGTAACAGTAACAGTCCTGCTCCTTCTGGCCTCCTGACCTGCAAGGAGTGGGCATGGGGCTTGTTTATGTGGTGCCACAAACACTGGAGCTCCCAAACATATGGGGTTCGTCCTGCAAGAGCTACTGCGCCCAAGGCACAGAAGGGCTGCCTGGTGCAATGCTGACACGAAGCTGTTTTTCCACCCAGAAACATTCATGTCTCAGCCTGGAGAAGAGAAGCTGTGCAGAGACTCAGAGCAGCTTCCAGTGTCTGAAGGGGGCTGCAAGGATGCTGGAGAGGGACTCTTCATCAGGGACTGCAGTGATAGGACAAGGGGTGATGGGCTCAAACTGAAACAGGGGAAGTTCAGGTTGGAGATAAGGAAGTTCTTTACTGTGAGGGTGCTGAGGCGCTGGCACAGAGTGCCCAGAGAAGTGGTAAATGCTCCATCCCTGGCAATGTTCAAGGCCAGGTTGGACACAGGGGCTTGCAGCAACCTGCTCAAGTGGAAGGTGTCCCTGCCTGTGGCACAGGTTGGAACTGGGCGACCTTTAAGGTCCTTTCCAACCCAAACCACTCCATGATAAATAATTGCCATGAGAAGGGGATACAAGCACCATCTTCAGTCTCATTATCACTCTGTAGCATCACATCCTGCTCCTATGAGCAAAACACATTTCCCCTGCTTGATGAAACATATTAAAAGAGGCTTCAACGTGCTTTAAACCAAGTGCACTACAGCAGAATCAAACTCCTCCTCAGATGAAGGCTCTATTTATACCTTCACACACAAACCTCAGTGCATTCAGGAGGTGTGGGAGATGTTCTGCATGTAACCCACCCCCTGCAGCCCTGAGCCAGCAGAGAAAGGATTTCCTTCAGCTGACCCTGTGCAGAGGAGCTGCAGCACAGAGTCATCTTTGTGCTCAGCCTTTCCAAGCACTCCATGATCTGCAGCTTGACTGACACCTCAACAAAGCAGCACAGAAAGGAAACAATCCCCTTCTGTGCTCCTCAACAGCACAGTTATTTTTGGCTTCCTTCAGCCTCTCATCCTCTTTGTAGAGCCCTGAAAATCTGGGAGTGCATCCATGGAGTGCCTGTTTGAGAGGCTACGGGATCTGAGCCAGCTTGGCAGGTCTGGACACATCCCAAACACATCCAAAGGCTGTCAGATGTTTCTTGCTCTGCACTGAAGTTGGACACTGTGCTTCTCAAAGCACTTGCTGGCTCTCCCTGAGGGTGACACAAGGGGTTTAACACAGTTCTCTGAAGGTGGCACCTCCAAGGGGAGTTTAAAAGTGTCTTTATCTGGATGTGTCACCTGGAACAAGATCACAGAGGGGAGCTGCATACAACTCACTGAGCTGTATCTCCAAAGCCACAATGAAAGGGTGTAAATAACACCCAGTGATGGTGAGGTGGTAACTAAGAGCCTGGGTAAGATGTATCACTTGGATATGAACACTTACTGCAGTTTCAAGAGTGGGTCTATCCCCAGAACTTGATGCATGATGAGATTGAGGAATTCCTCAGGATCTGGAAAATGAAACAAAAACATAGGTCACACCACACCAGGAATGCTATGACCTCACTGAAGGCAAAATCCTGCCAGATCAACATGAACCAGCATTTCCTGAACCTGGAATGTCCTGGTTCACTCTAGGTAAGGGGAAAATGGGCCTAAAGTTGGGTGAGCATGAGGAAAACAAACCAGCCTTCACATACTGCACTGAGAAACCTCAGGCCGTCAACACCAGCTCAGAGACTTTAATGGACTGTTACTAACAACCGAAAGTATAAACTCAAAGTGAAATCAGGGAAAACTCTGGAAATTCAAGCAACTGAACAGCAGTTAAACCACCCCTGGCTAAAATCAGCATCTAGTAGTACAAACTACAAGTGGTGTTTAATGACAAGATACCTGGATGTCGCAGCTCATTGCAGGGGATTGGAACTAGATGACCTTTGAAAGTCCCTTCCAACCCACAATTCCTGTCCTTCTATAGGCTTCAGGATAAATTTTCAGCTGAAAAGAGTTTTAAAAGCTGAAAATATATGAGATGTGCATCTTTCTGTAAGTGAACACGTAATGCATGCAGCAGGCATGTTAATGCACAGGCCTGGAAGCAGCACACAGTGCAGCTGTCAGCCTGGATGGGGCAGAACACAGGGAATAAAACCAGGGAAGGTCCCAGAGAGTATCTTACCTTTCTCAGCATTGGTAAAGCTTGAACACTGGCCCTTGTCAGTCAACTGCTCCCTGAGGTGCATCACACTCTTGGCATTGACAAAGCCAGTCCTAGAAACAAGAAGGAGCTGTAGATGATCTCTCCAAGGTATTTAAATCATGAAATCATAGAATAGTTAGGGTTGGAAAGGACCTTAAGATTATCCAGTTCCAACCCCCCTGCCATGGGCAGGGACACCTCACATTAAACCATGTCACCCAAATGGTTCAGGTTGGAAGGGACCTTAAAGCTCATCCACTTCCAACCCCCTGCCACGGGCAGGGACACCTTCCACTAGAGCAGGGTGCTCCAAGCCCCTGTGTCCAACCTGGCCTTGAACACTGCCAGGGATGGGGCAGCCCCAGCTTCTCTGGGCACCCTGTGCCAGCGCCTCAGCACCCTCACAGGGAAGAGCTTCTGCCTAAGAGCTCATCTCAGTCTCCCCTCGGGCAGCTTAAAGCCATTCCCCTTGGCCTGTCCCTACAGGCCCTTGTCCAAAGCCCCTCTCCAGGTTTCCTGTAGCCCCTTTAGGCACTGGAGCTGCTCTAAGGTCTCCCCTTTCTGCAGCAGAGGGGCAGAATGCCCTTCCTGACCTGGTGCTCACGCTCTGGGGATGCAGCCCAGGATATAGTTGGCTTTTGGACTGCAAGTGCACACTGTCCCATTTTTCATCCCCAAATCGTTCTCTGCAGGGCTTCTCTCACCAAATCTCAGCATCACAGAACACCCCAGGGTTCTATTTCTATATATTCACATGCATCAGTGTCAGGACACCTCAAGGAAGATGCTAATGTCTGATGTTCAGCTCTCCATGCCTCTCTTCCACACCTATCTAGGGAGGATGAGGAAAGAACCTGGTATCTTTGATACAAATACCAAAGAATTTAGCCTCATGCCATGGTTTCCTCTCATCCAGCCTGGCACTGACACTGCCTTTGGGCCTAATTGCTGGTGAAGCAATGCCACTGGTCCATCTACTCCAGGGTTCCCTCCAGAGGTGGTCTGAATCCCAGGAATCCTCCTTTTATGAGGCTTCCTTCTGAGCAGGAGATCCTCGTGCACATGCAGGAGGAGTTGTGACAGCCTTAGAACACAGGGAATGGTTTAACTGGAAAAAGAACCCAATATGAAGCCCTTTGGATGTGTCTGGCAGGAGAAACACTCCAGGTAACCCTTCCCTTAATGACAGATACCATCTAGAAGAGATGGTGTGAAGGCAGATAGATGACTTCCAGGATTCCCACATATTATACTCACCTTCGGAGGGGATTAACAATCTCATCCCTCAGAATGCTCTGGACGTTCCTATCACACAGCAGGAAGGGCTTGAAGAGCATGGAGTCCACCACAGATGTACAGGAGAAGAGGCTGTGGAAAGAGAGGGATGGGTGTAATATTTGCAGCAATAACTAGAACCAAACCGTTGTGCCTGGTGAGAGTTGGTGGCTTTGATTCTCAACAGTCCATGCATGCAGTTACAGAACGGTGAGTGGCAGCACATCTCCACAGTGAGAGAAACCACATCAGGTTTAAAGAACACTGGTAGGAAGCAAGGAAACAGCTCCAACAGCCCAGACACAATGAGATTTCGTACTTTGCAGCCCAAACTGCTCAGGAGAGGGCACCACTGAGGCTTTATTCCTCTCCAAACAGTGAAGCAGGGATCTCTTGGGAGGTTTCTTTGACACGTTTCCAGCCAATACCTCCAGTGACAGTGTCAGCACGGTGCCAGGATATCTCACCACCCTACTTGACAGACACACGGGACATTAGGTGCTGGATCAGCACCAGTGTGGCAACAGGACCAGGGCAGTGACTGTCCCCCTGTGATGGGCATTGGTGAGGCTGCACCTCGAATCCTGGGCTCTGCGCTGGGCCCCTCACTACAAGAGAGACATTGAGGTGCTGGAGGGGGGACAGAGAAGGGCAATGGAGCTGGTGCAGGGCCTGGAGCCCAAGTGTGATGGGGAACGGCTGAGGGACCTGGGGGGTTCAGTGTGGAGAAGGCTCAGGGGGGACCTGATTGCTCCCTACAACTGCCTGAGAGGAGGATGGAGCCAGGAGGGGCTGGGCTCTGCTCCCAAGGAACAAGGGATGGGACAAGAGGAACCGGCCTCAAGCTGCACCAGGGCAGGTTTAGATGGAGCTGAGGAACAATTCCTTCCCCAGATGGTGCTCAGGCATTGAAACAGGCTGCCCAGGGCAGGGCTGCAGTCACCGTCCCTGCAAGTGTTCACACAGCGTGGAGACGAGGCCTCAGTGCCATGGGTTAGTGGTGGCCTTGGCAGTGCTGAGGTAATAATTGGACTGGGTGAGCTTAAAAGGTCTTTTCCACCCTGGCTGATTCTGTGTGTGATTCTGTGTGTACACACGAGGGGTACTCCAGGGCCTGAGAACAAACCCCCTCAGAATTCCCCGGAAATGCTGCAGTTTAGGGCTCTATCCAATTCAAAAAGCACTCATTTAATCAGCTGGCATCATCCAAACAGGTCCTTACCTGAAGAGAGCTGCATCCATATAGCAGGAATTACAATGGCCTTGGATCCCCTTCATCCGCCCTCGCAGGACACACACTGCTGCCTCATTCCTGAGGGGAGGAAAACTGTCTGGAGCCTGGGGAAGAACTTCTTGTCCTCCTGCAAAGAGAAGCAACTCCCTTGAGCTTCCCACCTCGTCTGGCTCAGCTCTGCCCTTCCCTGATGCTATTCCCTGCCCAGAAGTCAGCACCAGGCTCCTCTGTGCTGCTCCTGATGGGATTTCAACCACACTGGGATGAAGAATTGTCTCCTTAGTAATTTCTCTACTGTAATCAGAGCCAAAACCAAACCAGAGACATATCCTACCAATCCATACCCACCTCTGCAGGTATAACAAAGAGCTACAAATGAGCTGGTGCTATGTTATATGGAAGGTTAGGATCTACCTGTCCTGTAACCTCAGGAGCAAAGGGACAAACAGGCAGCTGTGCTTTAACAGCCTCATCCTGCTGCTCTGCCACCTCGAGCCTCCAAGGTGGCCTTCTCAATCTGCTCTTTCCTGCTTTCTTCAGCATTCTCCCCTTGTAATTCAATCATCTCTATTCAGCATGTCCTTAAGACAGTTTCCCATATCCCTCTTTCCAGGTTTTGGGACATTCCTGGAGGAATCCTGCTGTCTCATCTCCAGTCATCTCATTTACTGTTTCTAAATAGTTAGTTCATGTTGGTTTCTGTGCTCTGGAGGAATTTCTTCCTATTGAAATGAAAACACTGACCTGTTCTTCTTGTGAAGGACTTACCATCACATCAAATTCTGCACTAAAGCTGATTTAATCCCGTCTCCCTTCCCAAGGGCATTCCCTATAATTACCATCAGCATCCTTAAAACTGGCATCTCAAGGAACACTCGAAGTGAATAATATTAAACCACTGACTAAGACACTGTCTATGAGGTTTCTCCATAGCGTGCCTTGTCCCAGCACAGCCCTGTCTCCCTTCTCCCTAGAGTGGGCCCTTGTGAACCTCATGAGGTTCCACAAGGCCAAGTACAATGTCCTGCATGTGGGCTGGGGCAATCCCAAGCACAAACACAAGCTGGGTTGAGACAGAATGGAGCAGCCCTGAGGAGGGCTTAAGAACCTCAACATGACCCAGCAGTGTGTGCTTGAGCCCAGAACCCCCTCATGTGCTGGGCTACACCCCCAGAGTACGAGCACCAGGTCAGGAAGAGGATTCTGCCCCTCTGCTGCTTGAAGTGGAAACCTTCGAGCAGCTCCAGTGCCTAAGGGGGCTGCAAGAAACTTGGAGAGGGGCTTTGGACAAGGGCCTGTAGGGACAGGCCAAGGGGAATGGCTTTAACCTGCCAGAGGGGAGACTGAGATGAGCTCTTAGGCAGAAGCTCTTCCCTGTGAGGGTGCTGAGGTGCCAGCACAGGGTGCCCAGAGAAGCTGTGGCTGCCCCATGCCTGGCAGTGCTCAAGGCCAGGTTGGATGGGGCTTGGAGCACCCTGCTCTAGTGGAAGATGTCCCTGCCCATGGCAGGGGTTGGGACTGGGTGAGTTTTGAGGTCCCTTCCAACACAAACCATTCCATGATTCTATCTTACCATAATCTATGAGGCTCAAATAACTGCTGTGTGAACTCTGGAAGCGAACATCAGGTTGGCAGCACTGCAGCTTCACGAAGAGGCCACGCTTCGGAGCACAGTGGAAGTAGTATTTGCCCAACCACTCACCATCACTGACCCCCTTATCTTCATCCTGGGAAAAAAGCAGTGATGAATAGCATCAGAGCACAAATCCCCCATATGGCCATCTAATATTAAACATCTAAACTTAAACAGGGGAAGTTTAGATTGGACATACAGAAGAAATTCTTTACTGGTGGTGAGGCACTGGAATGGGTTACCCAGGGAGGTTGTGAATGCTCCATCCCTGGCAGTGTTCAAGACCAGGTTGGACGAAGCCTTGGGTGGCATGGTTTAGTGTGAGGTGTCCCTGCCCATGGCAGGGGGGTTGGAACTGGATGATCTTAAGATCCTTTCAAACCCTAACTATTCTATGATTCTATTTTAAGAGCCGTGGAGTTTGATCCCATTTTGTTGACTGTTTTCATCCCTGTTTCTATCCCTGGCAGGGTTCAAGGCCAGGCTGGACAGAGCCTTGGGTGACATGGTCTAGTGCAAGGTGTCCCTGCCCATGGCAGGGGGTTGGAACTGGATGATCTTACAGTCCCTTCCAATCCAAACCATTCTATGATTCATTTATTCCGGTCACGTGTTGAACCTATTGATGCCACTTGCAGGATCCATGATTATTCCATCCCACATTCCAATCACAATGTTCTGGAAGAGAGTGAACCAACCTCATAATCACCCCACAAACTCCTCTCAAAAGCCTAAAGGAAGGCCTAACTGGCTGCTTGTCCTCACAATTCACTCTCCACTACATCAGAGGCCCACATTAGGCTGTGAAACACACAAGCAGAAGGCCTTAAAAGAGAAAAGCAACCAAGAGCAGCCACTCTGATGCCCCATTTTCCAGCAGGAAATGTTTGCTCCTCACCAGTTCAACTCCTGCCATCTTGTGCTCAATTTGGGGCAGGTAGCCCAACCAGCGGATGATTCCCGAAACCCGAGTTCCTTTGTCCAAGGTGATCTGGACCATGGAGTTCACTTCCAGGGCTGAATTCCCCCCGTCACACTCCTCACTGCTCTCACTGACCTCTTGTTTCATCTGGTTTGGGGGTTCCAAGCCCATAAATAAACCTGGTGGGTAACACAGAATGTCAAGTGAGGTAGGAATGACAGACACCTGATGATGAACACCTCTGGATCTTCTTTAATACCAGGTCTGCTCTGAAACTCAAGCATGAAGCCCAGCATCAGAGACACAAGGTATAATTCCCAGTGATATGGCCAAGCTGGTCTAACAGGCTAAAAGGGGATGATCTTGCTCCTTGTTTCCCTGCTCAAGGCTGTGTGGTCCAGTCTCTTGCTGGTCCTGGAGCTAATCCAGCCCTTCCCTGAGCCGTTCTGAACTACTGGAACAGCAGCAGGGGGTCATTCCCAAATTATTCTCCTGCCTTTAGTGAGATGAATCAACTCAGTGAACAGTCTAATGATGGCTCCAGAGAGATTCCACCGAGTTCTTGTCTTGTACAGTGACTCAACCATCACTGTGCTTTTCCGAGCCTGTCTGGCATCAGGATGAGGCTCCTGCTCCATATTCACCAGGTAAATTAAAGACTCTTCAAGCACTGGTGCATCTTCCTTTAAGAAATACTTCTGCCCTTCAATTACACCCTCTCTACTTCTTTCTGTCAAACTCATCTTTAGTTGCCTAATGCAAAGAATGTTATCCAGAGAGAGTTTTCCATGGAGCTTCTTTGCCTCCTGATCAACCAAACTGGGATTAGCTGAAGATTTTGTTGGATCTTCAGCTCATCAGAGAGAAGAAATAAACCCCAGGAACACAGGGAAGACACATCTGATGATAACTTACTTTGCAAGTTTTCCTTCACAACAGAATCCAGAGGGATTTCTCTGAAAATGTCAGTTGTTCCTTCTTCTTCCTGAAAGGAGAGAACAATTCATCAGCTAAATGCTTTAGCAGGCATAAGGCATTCCTGGAATACGAAGCAACTATTCAAAAAGGCCTGGAAGGTTTGCATGGAACCTCATGTCCCTTCTAGGATGGGTGGAGAAGTGATTCAGAGCAGCCTGAGGAGAAGGACTTGGGGTATTGGGTGAGAAGCTCTCCATGACCGGGCTTCAGTGTGCGCTTGAGCCCAGAGCCTCTCCATATCTGGACTGCACCCCCAGAGCATGAGCAGCAGCAGCTCAGGGAGGGGATCCTGCCCCTCTGCTGCGTGAAGGGGAGACCCTACTTGCAGCACTGTGTGCAGTTCTGGTGTCCTCAACATAAGAAGGACATGGAGCTGTTGGAGCAAGTCCAGATGAGGCCATGAGGATGATCAAGGGCTGAAGCACCTCCTGTATGGAGCCAGGCTGAGAACATTGGGGCTGTTGAGCCTGGAGAAGAGAAGCTGCGTGGAGACCTCAGAGCAGCTTCCAGTGTCTGAAGGGGGCTACAAGGATGCTGGAGAGGGGCTCTTCATCAGGGATGGGAGTGATAGGACAAGGGGTGATGGGTTCAAACTGAAACAGGGGAAGTTCAGGTTGGAGATAAGGAAGAAATTCTTTCTTGTGAGGATGGTGAGGCGCTGGCACAGGGTGCCCAGAGAAGCTGTGGCTGCTCCATCCCTGGCAGTGTTCAAGGCCAGATTGGACAGGGCTTGAAGCAACCTGCTCTACTGGAAGGTGTCCCAGCCTGTGACAGGGGTTTGAAACTGAATGATCTTAAGGTCCTTTCCAACCCAAGCCATTCTATGACTTCCACCTCCTTAAGTCCCCCAAACCCAAGAGAAGGCATCAAGGCTGCTCTTACCGGACAGATTTTAACAAGCCACTGGGCTCCCTTCCTATAAACTGCCATGGCTATTCCTCTGGTGAGGACCTCATCCACATAGAAGCTAACTGCATCTCCCACTTTCACAGGGACTACCTCCTCCGTGTCTGCTTTTGGCTTCTGCTTCCCATAGTTGTCATCTGGAACAAACTGGACTTTGGTAAATGGCAGGAAGATCCCACAGTTCTTCTTACACTTGAAATACTCAGTGCCACGGCAGGACCCATCGCTGCGCCCTCTGTTTTCTCCTTCACCCTGAAAACAGGATAGAAAACCATATTACACACAGAAAACATGAAGGGAAAACAAGGAAGTCCCTTTCTTGACCCCTTTACCTGTAACTCTACCCCAAAGAAGAAGGGAGACAACACAGCAGTGCTTCTATAAATGCTCCCAATGTAACGGATGATTCCAGGGAAATACTGGTGCTCAACCTTAGCCATCACCCTGTGGCCAGGCAGAGCCCTCAGAGCTGCCTCGAGGTTCACCCCGTCCAAGAAGCAGTTCAACCTTTCACAGTGGCTGCTGATGGCCAGGAGGAAGGAGGCCACCTTCTCAGACACAGGTTGAAGGATCTCCATGTTGATGGTGACGGTGGAGCTGTCATCCAACATGATGACCCTCAAGAAGCAAATGGGACGTCTGTCGTCGGAGAAGTTGCGCAGGTAACTCCTCTCGCTGCAGAAACACAAGTTTCCAGCTTGGAATAACTTGCTGCCATAGGAACAGTCTTCTGTCAGGATGTAATAGCAGTTGCCATCTCCTGAGGAAGGTGGGAGGTTGGTCATCGTCATTCCCCTGGGTTGTGAGAAAGGAGATGGTCACACAGGTGAAGATACATGGATGTTATAGAGTCAGAGAATCAACCAGATTGGAAAAGACCTTGAAGAGCATCAAGTCCAACCATTATTGTAGGATCTAAGAAGAACTTAGGTGGAAGAGGCCTCAAGGCCAACACCAGGCTTGAAGCAGGTTGCTCAAAGCTTCACCTAGCTGAGATTGGAGCATCTCCAATGACAGAGATCCCACAATATCCCTCATTGCTTTGGCCAAAGCTTCATCACCCTCATCACGAAAACAGGAAGAAATCCCACCTGTCCAAGGTTTCCCTATGTTCCTGCTCATCCCTGTTGCCTCCTGTCCTGCCATTCTGCATCCACAGGAAGAGTCTGGCTCTGTCTTCTCTACTAAACCCTATCAACAAGAAGCTGCACAAAGCAGCATCTCCTCATCTGTCTGTTCTCTATGACACTGCACCGCTTCTCTGAGTGCCCTGTGCCAATGCCTCAGCACCCTCACAGGGAAGAGCTTCTGCCTAAGAGCTCATCTCAGTCTCCCCTCTGGCAGGTTCAAGCCATTCCCCTTGGCCTGTCCCTACAGGCCCTTGTCCAAAGCCCCTCTCTGGGTTCCCTGCAGCCCCTTTGGGCACTGGAGCTGCTCTAAGGTCTCCCTTTAAGGAGCCTTCTCTTCTCCAGGCTGCCCCAGCCCAGCTCTCTCAGCCTGGCTCCAGAGTAGAGCTGCTCCAGCCCTTGCAGCAGCTCCGTGGCCTCCTCTGGACTCACTCCAGTGGGTATTAAATGTATGAAAAGAAATCAGAGGTAAATTTTTGTGCTTGAGTTGAATCAAGTTTGAGCCAAATTCCCACTTCTAGGCCATGGTGGAAAGTAAGAAAGGAAAAAAGGTGTCACCTTGGTAGATGCTTCTTAAAACATTGAAGCAGAGAGGAAGAATCAAGCAGATGCAATTAAGGGAAGCAGAAACATACTCAGGGCATTGTAGCAGGAAGCAGGAATGCAGCTGCCTACAAGAGTAAGACATGGATGGACTGGGAGGAAAACGTAGGCAGAGCTTGCATAGAGAAGCTCCTCAGACCTCCAGGAGGAACTTCACTGGAGATTAATCATGGAATGGTTTGTGTTGTAAGGGTCCTTAAAGCTCATCCAGCTCCAACCCCTGCCATGGGCAGGGACACCTTCCACTAGAGCAGGGTGCTCCAAGCCCCATCCAACCTGGCCTGGAGAGAGCTTAATATTCCAGAGGATCAGGAAAAGAGAAATCAGTGCTTGTGCTGGAAAAACATCACCCTGGAGCTTCCCTGGTGTTTGGGCTTGTTGTGGCAGCTGCCTACAGGAACAATTCCCTCTGGAGAAGTCATGGGGCACTCTATGGGGTTACACAAGAGCAGGAAACGGAAGAAATCCCTCAGCACGCAGCAGTTCCCTTTTTGCCCATCTATGTGACTCGCTGCTGAGGTTTCACAGCCCTGGCAGCAGAGCAAAGGCTTGAAATCCTGTGATTCTGAAAGGATGGAGTTATCTGAATGGATAACATCTGATGGATGTTATCTGAAAGGGATAACATCACCTGTCCCAACCCCCCCTCTGCTCACTCTTCCACTTTCAGGACCTCGGTTTTACTTCACGTTTCATTTGGTTTTTAAAGTTCCTTCCCCACAAGGAGAAGAGCAAAGAGATGGGTGCAGAATAAAGGGGTTTCCCCATCAAACCACCAGAATTAACCATTTTCCTCACTGAAACCCCAGGAACGAAGCATTTCCAGCATCAAAACCCCGAGAACCAATCATTTCCCTCATCGAATTCCCAATAATTAACCATTTTCCTGTTGAAACTCGAAGAATCAACCTTTTTCCTCACCACCCCCCCCCCAGAATCAACCACTTTCCCCACAAAAAAAACAAGATTGAAGCATTTCCAGCACCAAAACCCTGAGAATCACCTGTTTCCCTCACCAAAACCAAAAAATCAACAATTTTCCTCATCAAATTCCCAATAATCAACCATTTTCCTTACGAAAACCCCCCAAAATCAACCATTTTTCTCATCAAATTCCAAATAATCAACCATTTTCCTTACAAAACCCCCCCAAATCAACCATTTTCCTCAGCAAATTCCCAATAATCAACCATTTTCTTGCCAAATTCCAAATAATCAACCATTTTCCTCATGAAAATCCCCCAATTCAACCATTTTCCTCACCAAATTCCCAATAATCAACCATTTTCCTTGCCGAATTCCCAATAATCAGCCATTTTCCTTACGAAAACCCCCCAAATCAACCATTTTCCTCAGCAAATTCCCAATAATCAACCATTTGCCTTACGAAAACCCCCAAAATCAACCATTTTCCTCACCAAATTCCCAATAATCAACCATTTTCTTGCCAAATTCCCAATAATCAACCATTTTCCTTACGAAACCCCCAAAATCAACATTTTCCTCACCAAATTCCCAATAATCAACCATTTTCCTCACGAAAACCCCCCAAATCAACCATTTTCCTCACCAAATTCCCAAAAATCAACCATTTTCCTTACGAAACCCCCCAAAATCAACCATTTTCCTCACCAATTCCAAATAATCAACCATTTTCCTTACAAAAACCCCAAAAATCAACCATTTTCCTCACCAAATTCCCAGTAATCAACCATTTTCCTTATGCCCCCCCCCCCCAATCAACCACTTTCCCCATCAAAACCCCACAAACACAGCGTTTTCCTCCCCAGACCCCAGGAACAAGCCACGTTCCTCACGGAGCCCTAAGAACGAACCGTGCTCCTCGGGAGCGGCCCGCTCCGTCCCCGCAGCGCACTCGCAGCCCCCTCCCGGGTTCACATCCACTCCAACGGGTGACCCCGGCTGCCCCAAACAGAGCCCAACCCCAACGGATCCCGCACGGGAACCCAAGGGACTGACCCCAAAGTCGGGGGCAGTAAATGGAGCCGGGGGCAGTAAATGGAGCCGGGGGCAGGGTCGGCCCTGAGGTAACGGGGGGGGGGGGGAACACACGGCAGCGGCCCCACAGGGCACCGGGGGCGGCTGTGAGGGACGTGTGAGGAGGGGAGGCCGGAGGGGGGTACCGGGGGTCTGGGGGGGTACTCGGGGGGGTGTGGGGGTGTCCCGGGTTCGAGTTCGGGCCCGGTCCCCCCCTGCTCTCACCCGTCCGCGCCGCCCAGCCCCGCTCTTCCGCGTCAGGCACCGCCGCCGCCACAGCGCCGCTTCCGGCCCGCCCCGGCTGCCACAGCCAATGGGGAGCGGAGAGGGCAGCGAAGGAGCCAATGAAAAGGAGGGGGCGGGGCTAGGCTGGCCGAGGAGGGTGGGGCCGCTGCGCGGCTCCGCCTCCTCATGCGTAGAGGGGGTGTCCCCGAGGGATGGGTCCGTGTCCCCATGGCCCTGGGTGCCAAACGTCCCTGTGTCACTGCATCCCCATGTCCCTGTGTCACTGCTTCCCCATGGCTCTGTGTCACTGCATCCCCATGGCCCTGGGTGCTCATGTCCCTCTGTCCCCATGTCCCTGTGTCACTGCATCCCCATGGCCCCATGGCCCTGGGTGCTCATGTCCCTGTGTCACTGCATCCCCATGTCCCTGTGTCACTGCATCCCCATGGCCCTGGGTGCTCATGTCCCTGTGTCACTGCATCCCCATGGCCCCATGGCCCTGGGTGCTCATGTCCCTGTGTCACTGCATCCCCATGTCCCTGTGTCACTGCATCCCCATGGCCCTGGGTGCTCATGTCCCTGTGTCACTGCATCCCCATGGCCCCATGGCCCTGGGTGCTCATGTCCCTGTGTCACTGCATCCCCATGTCCCTGTGTCACTGCATCCCCATGGCCCTGTGTCACTGCATCCCCATGGCCCCGTGTCCCCATGGCCCTGTGTCACTGCATCCCCATGGCCCCGTGTCCCCATGGCCCTGTGTCACTGCATCCCCATGGCCCTGTGTCCCCATGGCCCTGTGTCACTGCATCCCCATGGCCCTGTGTCCCCATGGCCCTGTGTCCCCATGGCCCCATGTCCCTCTGTCACTGCATCCCCATGTCCCTCTGTCCCCATGTCCCTCTGTCACTGCATCCACATGTCCCTATGTCCCCATGTCCCTCTGTCACTGCATCCCCATGGCCCTGTGTCCCCATGGCCCTGTGTCCCCATGGCCCCATGTCCCTCTGTCACTGCATCCCCATGTCCCTCTGTCCCCATGTCCCTCTGTCACTGCATCCCCATGGCCCTGTGTCCCCATGGCCCTGTGTCACTGCATCCCCATGGCCCCATGGCCCCACAGCCCTGGGTGCTCATGGCCCTCTGTCCCCATGGCCCTGTGTCACTGCATCCCCATGGCCCCGTGTCCCCATGGCCCTGGGTGCCCATGGCCCTGGGTGCCAAATGTCCCTGTGTCACTGCATCCCCATGGCCCTGGGTGCCCATGGCCCTGGGTGCCAAATGTCCCTGTGTCACTGCATCCCCATGGCCCTGGGTGCTCATGTCCCTCTGTCCCCATGGCCCTGTGTCACTGCATCCCCATGGCCCCATGGCCCTGGGCGCTTATGGCCCTCTGTCCCCATGGCCCTGTGTCATTGCATCCCCATGGCCCTGGGTGCTCATGGCCCTGTGTCCCCATGGCTCTGTGTCACTGCATCCCCATGGCGCCGTGTCCCCATGGCCCCGGGTGCCCATGGCCCCATCACGCTGTGTTCCCAGAGCCCTGTGTCCTCCTGGCCCCGTATCCCATGTCCCCATATCCCATGTTCCCATAGCCCTGTGTCCCGTGTCCTTGTGACTGTGTGACCCTTAATCCTCACAGCCATGTGTCCCCAGGGCCCTGTGTCCTTATGGCGGCATGTCCCATGCCCACATAGTCCCATGTCCTGTGGCCCCGTGACCCTGCATTCCCATAGACATGTGTCCACATGGCCCCTGTGTCCCCATAGCCCTCTTGCCGGTGTATCCCGTGTCCTCATAGCCCTCTGTCCCCACAGCCATGTGTCCCTGTGTCCCCATAGCCCTGTCCCCCCATGGCCTTGTGACCCTGCATCCCCATAGCCGCACCTCCATAGCCTTGTGTCCCTATGGCCCTGTGTCCCGTGTTCCCTTGACTGTGTCCCATGTCCCTACAGACCTGTGTCCCCATGGCCCCTCTGTCCCCATGGCCCCTCTGTCCCCATAGCCCCTCTGTCCCCATAGCCCCTCTGTCCCCATGGCCCTGAGTCCCCATGGCCCTGTTTCCTGCGTCCCCACCGCACCATATCCATCATCGCTGTGTCCCCACATCCATGGCCTGTGTCCCCTGGCCTGTGCCTCCTGGCCCTCTGCCCTGTGTCCCATGTCCTGTGTCCCTTGTCCTCTCTGCTGCTGGGATATATCATGGGGACAAGGGTGACCCACTGGATCCAGGATCCTGGAGCCACCACCCTGGGGGCAGAGCTGGCATTGGGGACACCAGACCATGGCAGCGGGGTATAAATATTGGCTAAATAGATTTATTTTCATACAAAGAATACACAGATTCCCCTGTTGGGACAACCCCACCCCGAGATGTCTCCAGGCACCACCTCCATTGGCTTTGCCAGCAGCATCTGTCCCCATCCCAGGGTTTGGTGCCAACGCTGGCATCACCTCGGGGACGTCCCTGTCCCATCTTGGTGCCTGTGTCTGCCTGGTGACGGCTCAGGGCACCCTGCCCCATGGGCACCCTCAGGCCTGGTGCCCTGCTCCCTGGTGCCCATGTTGGGGACATCTCTGAACATTTTGGGGTACCCCCTTGTGCCCTAATACTGTGGCTGGTCCAGACACCCCCCCCCCACCCCCATCCCCCGCTGTATGTACACGCTGGATAAAAGAAGAAAATACAGATATTTATAGCCAGGGGGGCAAAATATCCCCCTTTAACCCCCCAAAGTGTCCCCTGTGTCCCCATCCTGGTGCCCCGCTGCCAGCCAGTCCTGTCCCCTGTCCCCAGGATGGAGGTGGCTGACCCTGCCCCATCCTGGACCAGCCGGGCACCCGTGCCTCAGTTTCCCCATCACTCACTGGGCTCAACCGCACCACGCAGTGGTGGGAGATGGAGGGTGCAGGGTGAAGAAGAGCCACGGTGGCCATCCCATGGGGACAGGGACGTGGCCATGAATCCCAAGGGACATGGGATGAAGCTGGAGGCACTTGGGATTTACACCTCCCGCTTCGCCCCAGTGGAGAAACCTCACGGGCAACAGTGAAATCCCCTTTTGTCCCCTGATCCGTCACCCCTCTGTCACCCAGCTCCAGCCACCCCACCTCCCTTTGCAGCAGGAGAGGAGGTGGCAGGGGAGGTCCACAACGGGCGGGAGGGTATCTGTCCATCCACCTCAGCTGCGTTTGGTGACCATCTGCCGGTCCCTCTTCTTCTTCTCCATCAACCTGGTGGGGAGCAGAGCGATGGCCTTTAGGGCCTGTCCTAAGAAGCACCCCCCGAGGCCATGGGGAGGGGACACTCACTTGCGGTTGCGGACTTCAGTGAGCTCCATGAGCCTCTCCTGGGCTGCCCGGAGCTCGTCGAGGCGCTGCTGGTAGCGGGAGTCGCAGCCGTTGGTGCGCTCGTAGCTGGAGACCTGGTTGGAGAGCTCGCTGGCGCGGTCCCGCAGCTGCTGGATGGACGAGTAGAGGTTCTCCTCGTCTTCCTCCTGCTCCAACACAAGGGGCTGAGGTGAGGCTGGTGGGATGGACGGGACACCCCAGGGGGCTGTTCCCCCTTCTTCAGGATGGGGAAACTGAGGCACGAGGTTCCCCAAGCCGCCTGGGCCACTTGCCTTGGCGTTGATGATCTCAATGTGGATGAGGAGGGCAGCGAGCTCCAGGTCCTCGGTGTAGCTGTTCTTCAGCGGCACTGATCGGTAGCCTGGACGCAACACAATGACATGAGCTCAGCACCAGCGAATCACAGAATCAGTTGGAAAAGACCTTTAATCTCGTCAAGTCCAACCTTTACCCCAAGGCCACCACTAAAGCATATCACTGAGGGCCTCATCTACATGCTTTTTGAACACTGCCAGGGATGATGACTCTACCGCTGCCCGGGGAAGCCTGTTCCAATACCTCACCATGGAGGTGGCCATATCCCTGGAGAGGATGATGATGATGATTGCAGGGAGGTTGGAATAGGAGGACTGTGAAGGTTCCTTCCAACACAAACTGTTCTATGATTCTATGACCATAGAATCACAGAATGGGTTGGAAAGGACCTTTGGAGCATCCACTTCCAATCCCCTGCCATGGGCAGGGATGCCTCACACTAGACCAGGCTGCCCAATGGCCTTGAGCACTGCCAAGGATGGAGCAATCACAACTTCCTTTGGCACCCTGTGCCAGTGCCTCACCCCCATCACAGGGAAGAACTTCTTCCTTATATCCAACCTGAATTTCCCCTGTTGAAGTTTAAACCCATCACCCCTTGTCCTACCAAATGATGATGATGATGACGGTAGTGGTGTGGATGGAAGAACCATACCTGTTTTGAGGCCCTTGACAGGGAAGGTGGCTTGTGCCAAGAAGTTGGGGTCACTGAACATGTCCTCCTCGTACACCACAAAGCGGAGGAAGGCGAACTCAGGGTTGTTGATGTCAAAGACAAACTGCTTGAAGAGCCAGACAGGGTTGAAGCCGTTGTCAGCTGGAGGGGGAGGAGAGAGTGGAGAGGGTCACAATGGGACCAGACCCATGGACTTCTCCAGCATGGCATCAGCACCTTAGGGGGAGCTACCTGTCCTCTTCACTCCTTCATGAAACCCCGTCATGTACAAGGTGATGCCCAAGAGGACCTCAAAACCCACAGTTAGTGTTGTCCCAGCATCCTGGGGCGCTGGCGTTGGGTGGAAACATCACCCACATGGACCCTCACCTACAACATCCGTCTTGTTCTTGCTGTTGTCGTACTCGGAGCCGCACACTTCCACCTCCACAAAGGGACACACGATGCTCCTCCCGTTCTTGGGAAGGTGCCGGGCACCAAGGATCTGTGGGAGGAAGAGGAGGGTGAGATCCAGCCATGCTGGGTGAGGAAGGACTCTTCCAGGCAGCCCCATGGGCTTGCCAAAAGCTTCATGGCTGTAGCTGGCCACACTACGACTTATTTATGATTTAGGTTGATTTTACTTGATTTGACCCACAAAATTACCCAAGAAATATCTGCTGGATTCGTGCCATGCTCACTGTTCAGGTGCCTACAAACCAACCCACAATTACCCAAGGGTTGAGAAAGGTGCTTCTGGGCTTGATTTATCTACTTAACCCACCACCCCCTCAGCTCAGCTCTGGAATTTTGGGGTTGTCCCTGGGAAATATAACGCTGCATGAGGAGAATAACCAAGAAACCCAAAAGATCACAGGGTGACAAACTCCATGGAGGAAATACACGGCTGAAACACGTAAAAACCACCCCCAGTTGACCCAAAACGAGTGAGTCCCCATCTCGATGGTGACCACTTCAAGGTGGACTTGCTGTCCTCACCCACTTACCTGCAGCTGGACCGTGATGGGCTCCACGATCTTCAGGCTGTTCTTGTCGAAGGGGTCAAAAGTCTCATCCCTCATGATGTCGGGCTGCAGGACGTAGCCACTGCGGCCACCGAGCATGAAGAGGGCCTGGTTCAGCTGCATGGGCTTGTCTGTGGTCATGGGGACAGAGCACATCTGAGCCTGGGGCTCAGGGACCTTCCTATGGTCTTTGTGTAGAAGGTCCTGCCCTGGCAAAACCCCTGCTAAAAGCCCCCAACCCTGACAGGAGGAGGGATGCATGAAGCACCCAAGAACTGCATGGAGATGTCCCCAGCAGGATGAGGACAAAGGTTGGAGAGATCAACCAAACCACCTCCAGCAACAGGGCAGAGCCATTGGGGATGGAGATTTTGAGGTGACCTGCAGGGATTTAAAGCCAACTGTATACTGGGCTGCATGTCAAAGGAGGTGATCCTGCCCCTCTACTCTGCTCTCGTGAGACCCCACTTGCAGCACTGGGTGCAGTTTTGGTGTCCTCAACATCAGAAGGCCATGGAGCTGTTGGAGCAAGTCCAGAGGAGGCCACGAGGATGAGCAGGGGCTGGAGCACCTCCTGTATGGAAAAAGGCTGAGAACATTGGGGCTGTTGAGCCTGGAGAAGAGAAGCTGCATGGAGACCTCAGAGCAGCTTCCAGTGTCTAAAGGGGGCTACAAGGATGCTGGAGAGGGACTCTTCATCAGGGACTGCAGTGACAGGACAAGGGGTGATGGGTTCAAAGTGAAACAGGGGAAGTTCAGGTTGGAGATAAGGAAGAAGCTCTTCACCATGAGGGTGCTGAGGCGCTGGCAGAGGTTGCCCAGAGAAGTGGTAAATGCTCCATCCCTGGCAGTGTTCAAGGCCAGGTTGGATGGGGCTTGGAGAAACCTGCTCTAGTGTGAGGTGTCCCTGCTCATGTCAGGGGGGTGGAACTGGATGACCTTAAGGTCCTTTCCACCCCAAACCATTCTATGATGAGCCCAGCAGCCACCCCAGGAGCAGGATTTACCGGGTGTCTGGAAGTTGAGGGCCACGAGCTGGCTCCCGCAGATCCACATGGGCAATGGGTCATAGTTGGAGGAGTCCAGGCGCTGCCCTTTGGGGTAGATGCGGCTGAGCTGGCGGCGGTTGTACTGCAGGAACTTCTTGCCCTTGCTGCGGTTGGCGTACTTCTCCGCCTTGGTCTCCGGGAAGGAGGACATGTCCCTGTAGCACGCCTTATCCGTGCCTATCTCTGAAAGCACCAAGGTGGCCATCAGTGGAGGTCTTCCTGATGGCCTCTGGTGGCCCACCATGACTAGTTTCCCCCATCATGCTCCTCCCATCATCCCCCTTCTCCAGCTCTTACTGTCCTCATCGAAGGGCACCGGGCGGCAATAGACAACCAGCTCGGAGAGCTCCAGCGCGATCTTCTTCCTCCGCTCCATGATCTTCCCCTCTTGCATCTGCACAAGGGAAAACAAGGAGATGAAGGTCTCCCCCCTCAGTCTCCTCCTTTGGAGACACTGAGGACCATCTTAGCTGTAAGGTGGAAGTTCACTGTGAGGGTGCTGAGGCGCTGGCACAGGGTGCCCAGAGAAGCTGTGGCTGCCCCATCCCTGGCAGTGTTCAAGGCCAGGTTGGACACAGGGGCTTGGAGCACCCTGCTCTAGTGGAAGGTGTCCCTGCCCATGGCAGGGGATTAGAACTGGATGAGCTTTAAGGTTCTTTCCAACCCAACCCATTCCATGATTCCATGATTCTATCCGCTGGAGGATGGGACAATCCACCCCACGCTCTGGACGCCGGTGCCCCTCACCCTGGCATCTGCATTCTGCGTGGCCTCTCGGATCTTGGCCACCCATTCGTTGAGTTCCTCCTGCGTGTCTGCGGCCACATCCAGGGACTGGGCTGCGTGGGACATCTGCTGGGAATGGATGGTGAAGACAAATGGTTTGGAGCTCCTCCCGTCTTTGGAGATAACTATAAGGACATCAGAGGGGGGCTTTACTCGAAGACATTCCCAATGGATGGTTCTGTGGAGCAAACGAAACCTCAGCGGTCCCACTCCCTGGCCCCCACCAGCCCCTCCTGGCATCCCACCAGCCACTGGGGTCCTCCTCTTGTGAGGATCCCATCTTTCTAAAGGATGGTTTCAGCCTTCCATGCATTGTCCTTTGAGCCAGATGTCCCCTGAATCATTTGGACCTCCAAATTCCACCAAATTCCCTCTACCAAACCCAGCTCCGTGTTGCTCCCTGCCACATCATGCCAAGCTTGTGTGTGATGAGCTGCAGCATGGGGTGTGCACCATCCCAGAAGGCTCCCACAGCCATGATGGGGATATGGTGGGACACTCACCGACGTGGCAGGACGGCACATCAATGAAGCCCTTCAAGAAGTTCCCCAGGGGGCTGTTTTCTGATGACTGGAAGAGAAGAAGGAAGAAGGGGGGGGTGGAGGAACCATGTGGGGCTGAGCATGGTGCCCACTCCATCCAGCCCTCCAAACTGTCCATGTATGAGCAAAAGAAGGGAAGAAAGACCCTCTTGGAACGCTCTGCTCCATGGCTGACCATCCCTCAGCCTCTGAGACTGTCACAGGGCTGCAAGCATCCTCCAGCTTCCAGAAAAGCTGGAGTGGGGCTGGGAGCATCCTCCAGCCTCTAGATAACGGCTGGCTCAAGACTGGCAGCATCTCAGGTGGCTTTGGTCCCAGATGTGTGAGGATCAGCAGGTCAAGGGAGGTGATTCTGCCCCTTTACTCTGCTCTGGTGAGACCCCACTTGCAGCACTGTGTGCAGTTCTGGTGTCCTCAACATAAGAAGGACATGGTGCTCTTGGAGCAAGTCCAGAGGAGGCCACAAGGACGAGCAGGGGCTGGAGCACCTCCTGTATGGAGCCAGGCTGAGAACATTGGGTCTGTTCAGCCTGGAGAAGAGAAGCTGCGTGGAGACCTCAGAGCAGCTTCCAGTGTCTGAAGGGGCCTACAAGGATGCTGGGGAGGGACTCTTCGTCAGGGACTGGAGTGATAGGACAAGGGGTGATGGGTTCAAAGTGAAACAGGGGAAGTTCAGGTTGGAGATAAGGAAGAAGCTCTTCCCTGTGAGGGTGCTGAGGCACTGGCACAGGGTGCCCAGAAAAGCTGGGGCTGCTCCATCCCTGGCAGTGTTCAAGGCCAGGTTGGACACAGGGGCTTGGAGCACCCTGCTCTAGTGGAAGGGGTCCCTGCCCGTGGCAGGGTTGGAACTGGATGAGCTTTAAGGTCCCTTCCAACCCAAACCATTCCATGCCTCTACGACATGGCACTCACAGCCTCATCCTGCTCCTGTGCTTGTGTGCTGACAATCTCCTCCACGTAGTTGGCTGGGAACCACAGTTGCTTCTTGCCCCCGTAGTCCCCCCGCCACCTGCAAGGGGTGAGAGGATCAAGGCAAATGGACCAACCTGGGGGGGACAGGGGTGTTCATGCTACATGCATTGTTGGGAGTGGTTGGAGAAGGGTTGAGGGGGACAGAAAAGGAGGCAGTTAAAACCCAGGGGGTCCATTCCACCTCCCACCCCTGGTGATGCCCACGCAGTGGCCACCCCATGGCCCTCACCAGCCACCGTCCTGCTTGTCCACGTTGTGGATGATGGCCTGCTTGCAGAAGGACAACTCATCCTCACGCTGTGCTTTGTAGTCGTAGAGAGCCTTCACTGTGCACTGGGTGACCAGAGAGAGGGACATGGGTCACCAACCAGGGATGCTGGTGGTCACCGTGCCCTACTCAACCCAGCTCCTTGAGCACCCATGGTGAAGTGTGGGGGCTCCTGAGGGTCCAGCACCCCAGAATGATGCTCCCAAACAGGTCACACCAGCAGTGAGATGTGTTAGAGGGGACAGGAGGACTGGAGGTATTGTAGGGGGCCCTGGAGCACCAGCATGCTCAGCACAATGCGGGTTCCTCTTCTGCATCCCCCAATGGCTTCTCCTGGTGCAGTCAAGGGGTTAATTCCATGGGAAAATACCCCTTTGGGTTGAGGTTTCCCATGTCTGGTCCTGGCCTGAGAGCTGCTCTGCTGCACAGGGACCTTCAAAGCACAGCAGTGCAGGAGGGTGGGATTGTAGGATCACAGGGAAGGAACCTTGGGGCATCCTCCCCCAGGGTCAGCTCTGAGCCCAGCCTGGTCCCAAACACCTCCAAGGATGGAGATTGCACCACCTGGGAGTTGACCCTAAACCTGCTCTTTTGGGTTTCTCCACTGTAAATACATCCACAGGGGTTTCCTTGCTGTTGGGGCAAACTTGTGTCAGGTCCTTGCTGCAGGCTGGGCTCTCTTGAGACCTGTTCCCATCACCACACTGTGACAGTGCTGTCATTGAAGCTTGGAGTGTTCCCAAGGGATGGTAATGCGGGAAGAGTCCTGCTCCAGCATCACTTGAGGGTCAGAAATACACAACAAAACATCACCACTTCCCAGGCCAGTGGTGGATCTGGTGGGAGACCATCCAGGAGCCATGTCCCACCAACCTCCACCTCCCAGGGACACCAGCTCAGCCTCTTACCCTTGCCATTGGCATCTTGTTGGCCTCTACGTAGAAGTGGGGGGTCCGCACCTCATACAGGGCTCCATAGTCCAGCTCCTGCAAGAAGAGATGCCCTAGTGGGTCACCTGGACATGGATAGTGGTTACTACAGGATGTGGTGGGATCTGGGCTACCAAGCGTGAGCAAGAGGAGACTGAGAAGGACCTAATATCCCTTTGCAACTTGTTGAAGGGGACTTACGATGGAGCTATAATAGCGGGCAATGGCTGTGGAATGAGTTTGGCTGGTTCTAGCTGGGCTTCAACCAAGAGGCTGGAGGAGACCTTCCCACCCTGGGAACAGGCCCATGGCACAGAGCCCCACCATCCCCACTCACGGTGGTGCCCATCTTCTCCAGGGTCTCCTCGTTGATGGGGTAGCGCAGCTTCATCTTGCGGTACAGCGGGTGCTTCTCGTAGTAGCTGATGAGGTCCACGAGGCTCTCGAACTCGGCCGAGCTGCCCAGCATGAAGAGCCGGCCCTCCTGCTGGATGCGGCAGTGCTTGATCTTCCCCTCGGCCCTGGGGCAAGGAGAGGCAGGGAGGGACATGTGAGGGCTGGCTGGGCCCTGGCTTCAGGATGATGATGTCCTACCCCAGCAGGGATGCCATAGGGGTGACCACGCTGAGGATGTGGCTTTCTCATCGCTGCAGATAGAACACTCCCCCGTGACAGCATCATGTGTCCCAGCATGTCCCATTGCTGATCCATAGCAGGGAGTCACAACAGACATGAACCTAGCATGACCAGCAGGTCAAAGAAGGTGGTCCTGCCCCTCTACTCTGCTCTCGTGAGACCCCACTTGCAGCACTGGGTGAGGTTCTGGTGTCCCCAACATCAGAAGGACATGGAGCTGTTGGAGCAAGTCCAGAGGAGGCTACGAGCATCATCAGGGGCTGGAGCACCTCCCATATGGAGCCAGGCTGTGAACATTGGGGCTGTTGAGCCTGGAGAAGAGAAGCTGCGTAGAGACCTCGGAGCAGCTTCCAGTGCCTGAAGGGGGCTGCAAGGATGCTGGAGAGGGACTCTTCATCAGGGACTGGAGTGATAGGACAAGGGGTGATGGGTTCAGACTGAAACAGGGGAAGTTCAGGTTGGAGATAAGGAAGAAGTTCTTTACTGTGAGGGTGGTGAGACACTGGATCAGGTTGCCCCATGAAGTTGTGAATGCTCCAATCCTGGCAGTGTTAAAGGCCAGGTTGAATAGGGCTGGGAGCAACCTGCTCTAGGGTGAGGCATCCTTGCTCATGTCAGGGGTTTGGAACTGGATGATCTTACGGTCCTTTCCAACCCAAACCATTCCATGATCCTATGAATGAGTCAGTTCTCATCTTGTCTGGCAACCACAGCCAAGTCCAACCAGCCCTGAGGTGCTGGGATGGCCACACTCACCGGAAGGAGATGGCATAGGAGTTGGGTTCACTTCTTTTGCGCACCAGGAAGGCTCCATCCCGTGGGACCCTCATCAGCATGTGCTCGGCCTGCAGGCGCGTCAGGCTGGCGTGGTACCACCTAACCGAGCAAAGCATGGAGATGGTGGGTGCCATCAGCATCCTCATCCCCAGAGTGGCACCCAAGACCTCACACTGGGGATGCAGGAGGCTGGTGGAGCCAAGGGATTGAGGAGATGCAGATGGGGATAAGGAGCATCCTTACTCTTTGCTCTCATGGGCGTTGGGCTGGGGGACGGGGTCGGTGAGGCGCATCTCGAACTCGTTGCAGCGCAGAGGCACCTCACGGTAGTGGCAGATGAGGCTGTAGAGGCTGTCGAAGACCAGGTTGTCTGTCAGGTAGAACTTGGTGGCACCGGCCTCCTGCCTTGAGTGGATCCGGCAGTGCTGCACCCGGCTTGATCTCCTGCCATGGTTGTGAGGGAAAGGTGAGTCAATTTGGGTCCATGTCCCCACCATCCCATGCTCAGCAGTCACAAAAAAGGTGGCATTTCCCTCCCGAAAAAGCCACCAAACCAAAGAGGTCCAACCCTTGGTGGGGTGGTCAGACCAGCTTGGATGGGATCCTACCTCCCCTTGGGGCTCCTACCAGAAGGAGAGGGTGTAGTCGCCCACGAAGGTCTCGCTCTCGCGCACCAGGAAGGTGCCGTCCTTGCCACCCGTCTCGGTGCAGTACTCATGGAGCAGCTTCTCAGCGATCTGCCGCCCGTCACGGCCACCTCCAAGCTTCCCATGGAACCACTTCTCCGTGAAGTGCAGCTCGTTGTTGTTGAACTCCTGCAAGTTCAGCCCAAAATGGGTGTTGGCACCACCTCAGCCTCCTCATGGAGTCCTCACTAAGCCCTCCTGCCCTTGGATGCATCCCGCTCCTCACACACCTCCTTCTGCTCCACCTCCTCTTCATCCTCATTGAACTGGTAGCGGGATGTCTCCTCTGAGTAGTAGATCTTGTTGCTTGTCAGGACGAAATAATGGGGGCTCCAAGTCTGGGAGGGAGGAAGAGCATCACCAAGGTGGGAAGAATGACGACCTGAAGGGACAGGGCTTTGAAAAGCCTCTTTCTGTCCCTTCCTGTCTCCCACATCATTGCAATGGTCTAGGAGAGCCCATGCCCAACCCAAACCCCAAAGCTCATTCCCATCTGACAGACCCAGCTTGGCCCCTGGATGCCACTGGCAGAGCAACCCTTACGTGGTCAATGGGGTCTTCAAGGTAGAGGATGCCATTCTTGATGGAGTTGCTGATGTCGTTCTCTGAGTAACTGGCGGTGGAGACCTCTTCATACAGGTTCCCTTCAACCAGCTTCTTGTGCTGGGAACAGGCCAGGATGGGGAGCTCAATGGTGGGAATGGTGTCCCCATCACACTGAGCTCCCTGCTCTCAGGACTCAGGGCTCCTGCACGTCCCTTTCCACCACTCCCTATTCCCCTCGATCACCTCTTGCAGTAGAACACTGGGGAGATGTCCTACTTGAGCACAGAGTTTGTCCCAGGATCTGGGAGAATCACCATCCCTCCCAGCCCAACCCTTTTGCTTCCTGCAAAGAGGGATTTGGGGTGGTGCCCACTCCCTACCTTGATTAGGATCTTCTTCTTGAGTTGGGTGGGTGAGGGCAACTCATCAGCATTGATGTCCACTGGCTTGGTGAGGAGCATGTCCCCAAAGACCTTCTTGAAGTGGGAGGCCATGTTCCTCTGCTGGACGATGCTGCAGTGGTCTTCGATGGAGAGGATGATGGGGAACCTGGAGGAAGCAGGTAGGAATGGTGGCCTCTGATGAAGGTGGAGGAGAGGTTGCCTGCACAACCCAGTGTCATTGAGGAGCTGGGGCTTACTCGGAGGTGACAAACGCGTGTTCCTTGATGGTGTGCAGCACATCCAGGAACTTGATCTTGGAGGTGAGTGTGTGGCCATGGTAGATGATGGGGAGATCATCCGGGCCATCCCAGCAGTCCACTGAGTGGGGAGACACACTGGTTAACACATGCTACGCTCTGGGGACCATGAGCCCTTGCAGGCCCTAGAAGACACCCTATCCCAGTGCCATGGGATGGGTGCAGGGGATGGTGTCTCTGATGTGACACGAGGTGCTGGGTGGGGGCTCAGCATCTCTGGGAGGTGCCACAGGGACTCACACTCGATGCAGCGGCAGCCCATGCGCAGGCACCGGGCATAGGCCTCCAGGGAGGACTCGCTGGAGAACTGGTCCCCTGTCAGGTATCTACAGAGGAGACAGGAGGATTGTCATTGGTCAGGGTGATGGGATGCTCACAGAGGTCCCCAGGGAGACCCCACTGTGTCCTTACGTGTTATGGGAGGATGAGATCCAGTATTGGGACAGGGGGTGGTTCATCTCCTCAGGCACCACGCGCTCATACTTGGCATCCATCACCATGTTCTCCTTGGAGAAGAGGTACGTGAGGAACTGCAGAGGGAAGAGAGAGGTCAGATACTGACAGGGCTGGGGAGACAGCCCTGGGTGGGTGCTGCATGGGGCCACCCACCTCATCCAACTGGAAGGAGGGGTCTGATGCCTCTGTGGAGCTTTCCTTGAGGTAGGTGCACATGTAGTCCCGCACCATGCCCACATCACTGGCCCAGGGCTCCTGGGGAGCAAATGGGGGAACCAGGCTGGAGCATCCCACGGGAGTCCCCTAAGAGGGATGCCACAGGGATCTCTAAGAGCACCCACCTTCTGGTCGTGCAGCAGGAACTTCTGGAAGTCATAGAGGGAGACTTGGCACAGCTCGGGGCGGTCCACGTTCCTGAGACATGGAGTGGCCACCAGTGAGGACCAGGAGTTGAGGCAGAACCCATGGAAGAGTCAAGGGCTCCAGCATCTCAGCTCAGCATCCCTGTGGCCCCCACTCCTACAGCTGGTGAGGAGCTTGAGAAAGCACAGGCCATGGGGATGCAATGGGAACCTCAAGATGTGCTGTGACCTTGGAGAGGTGGGCACCCAGCCGCATTTTCCAAGGATACAGGGAGTATGTGTCCTACATCCCTGGCACCCATTCCCACTCCCATCCCTGCTGCCATCTGCTCTTCCATCCTGCTTTCATCCCAGATTCCATTCCTATGCTCTCAGATCCTCTCCCATACCTGCTCACGCCTATCCCTGCTCATCCCCATTCTCATCTCCGCTCATTCATGCTCCCATCCCTGCTCCTATCTCCACTAACAACTCAGTTCATTCTTGCTCCTGTTCTTGCTCTCAGCCCCTCTCCCTCGTTCCTACTCCCATCTCTGCTCACATCCCTTCTCCCATCTTTGCTCCCTTCTCCCATCTTTGCTCCCTTCTCTGCTGACACATCTCCTCTCCCGTATCTTCTCCCATCTCCACTTCCATCCCTATTCTCATCCCCAATCCCATCCCACTCTCATTCCCATCCCCTGCTCTGCCCCACAGCCTTCCTGCATTGCCCACCCAATAGATCCGACCCCTGCAAGCTTGGCTGGGATGGGAGCCAAGATGGGAGACAGGATGGGAGCTGCGGCATTCCCGGGTACTCACCGCAGGGGGAAGGAGAGCTCCAGCTGCTCGATGACCTGCAAGGCAAAGGAGGGACCAGGTTTAGCTGGTGGGGACACACCACAGTGGATGGGGGACACTTGGGAGGACAATCCATGGCTCCTACCGACTTCTGTGCATCAAACATCAGGTTCTTGTAGAACTGGATGAAGTGGGAGAAAGTCATCTCATTCCTGGCTTCCACCTCCTGTGGGACATGGTGCTGCTTGAGAGTGGGGCCACCCAACCATGGCCAGTGACCCCTAGGGCTGGCTCCAGCCCGGATATGGAGGCTTGAAGACCATGTCCCTGCATAGCTGAGGTGCTCAGGGGGTCCTTACCACGAGCTTGTCCCGCAGGAACCTCATGTTGGGGACGCGGTAGTTCACCTGGGGCAGCATGGCCTTCAGGTCCTTCACTGTGATGCTATGAGAAGGTAAGCTGGTGTCAGACCCCACAGAGGATGGATGATGCCTGGATGCTCCTGACACCAAGGCTCCCACCCCTAATCCTGGTGGTCTCTGGGTTTGGGCTTCCGGGCTTCCACCCTACTGGGCTATGGAACCTCACAGTGACACAGGACCCCTATTACATGGGGTCTGGCACGAGTGTGAGGAGACAGTCGAGTAGAAAGAGTGCACACAAGAACCTTTGGGTGCTTTAAGCCATCACCCCATCTGGAGATGGTGTCCATCTCCAACCCTAAAATCATTTAAGTCCAAATTCACTCGATTTGAGATGTTTCCTATCATGGGGAGATGTTCATGGGCTGCATTGATGGCACAGCCCCTCCTGGTGCTGGTGGAAGGGGGCATCACGGTCCCCATGATCCGTACAGCAGCAAGGAGGGCACCTGCACTTGAGTGTCTTGATTTTCGGTACCTTGAAGCACCCCAAATAAGCTGGTACCACCTTGTCCCACAAACCTCACCCCCAGCCTGGCACAGCCTCCGGTTCTGGGGGGCAACTGGAGGGATAAAGCCCTGTCCAACCAAACCCACCAGCTGCTTCCCAGCACGGGGCTGTTCCAGTGCTCACCTGCCTTCCCGTGACCGGTCCATCCCATCAAACTGCTTCCGTAGCCACCTGAGAAGGAAAGGATGGACAGAGGGTGCTCAGCCCCATGGGCAACCAAACCCAGATGGGGTCCTGGATCCTTCCTCACCTCTCGATCTGCAGCGGGGTCTGGGCTTTCTGGGTGTCTGCCACCAGCCAGTTGAGGCCCGTTATCCACAGGTTGATATCCTCCTCGCAGAAAGCTGGAGGAGGAAGGGGAGGGCGGTGAGGTTGGGATGAGGGAGGTGGGATGCTGGCGACAGGGTGAGAGCTGAGGGTCCACACACCGGCCACGCTGAGCGTCCGCAGCCTGAAGTCCATCCCGTAGAGGATGATGAAGCACATGGTGAAGTCCAGCTTGCGGGCATCCTCAGGGTAGCGCTCGAAGTCCCGTGAGTTCTTCCCCAGGCGGATCTCCTTGATCTCCCGAATGTCGACTGTGGGCAAAGAGGAACATGGGACTGTGCATTGCCACCCTTCCCATGTGGACCCATGTGCAGGGCTTGGAGAAGCTGCAGGAGCTGGGAAGTGGTGAATGCTCCATCCTTTGCAGTGGTCAAGACCAGGCTGGACAGAGCCTTGGGTGACATGGTCTACTGTGAGCCAGTGGCAGGCGGTTGGAGCTGGATGATCTGAAGGTCCTTTCCAACCCAAACCATTCTATGATTCTATGATTCCAGGAGACCATGTGTCCTCTGGGGAACCTTGTCCCCAGCATGGGGCATCCCCATGGAACTGCCCATGGGTGTGTGATGGTATTGTGGGGGCTGTGATGTGTGTCCTGCAGGCAGACATGTCCACACTGTCCTCCAGTGATGTGTCTGTGAGTGTGATGGCACCATGGATAATGCATGTCCTTCAGGCAACTGTGTCCCCAGAATGGGGCAACCCTGTGGGATTGCCCATTAGCGCATGGTGGCATCATAGGTGCCATGGCCAGGTGTCCTCCAGGGAATTGTGTCCCCAGGATGGCATGTCCCTGCAGCACTGCTGCAGCTGTGTGACAGCACCATGGGTGCCATGGCCATGTGTCCTTGAGGGAATCGTGTCCCCAGGACAAGGTGTCCCTGCAGCACTGCCTCCAGGCATGTGATGGCACCACACTCCTGGGACTCGTTTCCCAAGGATGTTGCATCCTGACAATGCTGCCCACTGGGTTCCTGGCTTTGTGGGTGCCACACGGCCTCCAGGCTCAGCCTGTTCCATCCCAACCACAGAATCACAGAATCATAGAATCAAATAGGCTGGAAAAGCCCTTTAAGCTCATCCAGTCCAACCGTTCCCCAGCACTGCCAAGGCCACCACTAACCCATGGCATTGAGGGTGTGTGAACACTTGCAGGGACGGTGACTGCAGCCCTGCCCTGGGCAGCCTGTTCCAATGCCTGAGCACCCTCTGGGGAAGGAATTGTTCCTCAGCTCCATCTAAACCTGCCCTGGTGCAGCTTGAGGAAGTTTCCTCTTGTCCCATACTTGTTCCCTGGGAGCAGAGCCCAGCCCCTCCTGGCTCCATCCTCCTCTCAGGCACTTGTAGGGAGTGATGAGGTCCCCCCTGAGCCTTCTCTTCTCCACACTGACCCTCCCCCCCAGGTCCCTCAGCCCTTCCCCATCACCCTTGTGCTCCAGGCCCTGCATCAGCTCCAGTGCCCTTCTCTGGCCCTGGTCCAGCACCTCAATGTCTCTCCTGTAGTGAGTGGCTCAGAGCTGAGCACAGGATCCAGGGTGCAACCTCACCAGCACATCTCCAACCACCTCTCCTTCGCCTTCTCCTCCCCAGGGCAGACCCTGCTCTGGGTTAGGCTGAGCTCATCTTTGAAATGGAGATGTCTGCCCAAAGGTGGCAATTTGGAGCTGTGGCAGCCCCGACCACAGGGCGTTTCTTTCCTGCCCTGCTGCTCTCTCATTATCTGCTATATAAAGCCCCACCGGCAGCGGGAGGGTTGGGTTTCCGGACCGCGGTCTTCCTCACTGGGGCAGAATTCCAGCCCTGTTTTTCCCAAGAGGACAAATCCCACCAGGAGCAGTATAAAGACAACACGATATCAGTGAGAACACCTGAAGTTGTCCTCGATACCATGAGCATCACCCCCCAGCACAGCTTTGCACACTGGGACTGAGCCACCACCACCGGAAAGGGCTTTGTATGGCCCAGGGTGGCCGGACAATCGCAACAGGGTATTGTCCTGCTGAGGAAATGGGTCATTTCCCGGAGAATTCCCAGCCCAGCTTCATTTCCGGGCCCTTGGGAAGAGTGTAGGAGGCTGGTGGCTTGATGTGAACCCTCAGCTTAATTCAGAGTGGGGAAAGAAAAGCTGAATGCAAGGGGAGGAATAAGCAACGGGGGAGAAATGGAGCTGATTAAGCAGGAAAAAAGGTGCAGAATGGTTTTTCTTGGCAAAAGAGCTCCAGAAAACACTGGAGGCTTTATCCAGCTTCCCTGGCTGGGTGACACGAGCCAAACTGCATGGATCAGGGTGGGAGTTCAGCACAAGGGATACACAGGAGGCCTGCAGCCTGTGTGTGCAGTGGTTTGGGGACTTAAATCTCAACCCTGGATGATGGAGAGGGACTCTTCATCAGGGACTGGAGTGATAGGACAAGGGGTGATGGGTTCAAACGGACACAGGGAGGATTTAGGCTGGATATGAGGCAGAAGCTCTTCCCTGGGAGGGTGCTGAGGCACTGGTACAGGGTGCCCAGAGAAGCTGTGGCTGCCCCATCCCTGGCAGTGCTCAAGGCCAGGTTGGACACAGGGGCTTGGAGCACCCTGCTCTAGTGGAAGGGGTGGAACTGGGTGAGCTTTAAGGTCCCTTCCAACCCAAACCATCCTGGGATTCTGTGGTTCAAGAAATGAAACCCAGTTGCTGTCCCCATGCAGCCCCCATGGCTCGGAGCAAATCTGCTTCGGTACAAACTGGATATTTGGGGGTAAAAATGGGTTTATAGGTTAAAAAACAAACACTCCACCCCCAAACCCCCTCATCGACACAACATCAGAGGGGAGCAAGAAGCTGGTGGCTATCAGGCTTCCACCAACGATTTGCAATGTGGCCACCCCCCCAGTTAAAGGATGAAGGAGTCCAGGATCCAGCCTTGAACCCAACCTCTGGGCACTGCCAATAACAATAAAGTCATACAATCAGCAAATGGTTGGCATAGGAAGGGACCTTTGAAGGTCATCGAGTCACCCCATCCTGCCACGGGCAGGGACACCTTCCACTAGAGCAGGGTGCTCCAAGCCCCTGTGTCCAACCTGGCCTTGAACACTGCCAGGGATGGGGCAGCCCCAGCTTCTCTGGGCACCCTGTGCCAGCGCCTCAGCACCCTCATTGTAAAGCATTTCTTCATTATACCTCTTCCGAACCTACCCTCTTTCAGTTTAAAGCCATGACCCCTCATCCTGTATCACTCCAGGCCCTACTACGAGTCTCTCCTCACCTTTCTTATAAGCCCTTTTTAAGCATTGAAAGGCCACAAGAAGGTCTCCCTGGAGCCTTCTCTTCTCCAGGCTGAACAAGCCCGGCTCTCTCAGCCTTTCCCCACAGCAAAGGTGCTCCGTTCCCTTGCTTATTTCTCTGGCCTCCTCTGGACTTGCTCCAGCAGCTCCATGGGGACCCCAAAGACGCACACAGTGCTCCAGGGGTTCACCCCTTCACACAGCAGAGGGGCAGGATCCCCTCCCTGAGCTGCTGCTCACGCTCTGGGGGTGCAGCCCAGCACACGGCGGGGTTCTGGGCTCAAGTGCACACTGAAGCTGGGTCATGGGGGGCTCCTCCTCACCCAACACCCCAAGTCCTTCTCCTCGGGGTAAATGACCCAGCCCCATGAAGAGCCATGGGAGGAGGGAGCGGCACAGGGGCTGCACAATGCATCCGCGGCTGGCGGCTTCCTGGAAGCCACATCTGCAGCGGATTTGCAGGGCTCATGTCAGAACCGTGGCTCCAAACTCCTCCCTGCATTGTCTCAGGGGTCCCGGGCATTAAAACGCTCTGGAAGTCAGTTCCAGCTGTGAAAATCCCTTTTCTTTTCTAACGCAAAGCATGGGGCAAAGGAGGTTTGAAACGGCTGGAAGATGCTGAGGGATCAGGTTCTGCCCAGAGGCTTTTAGGGATGCTGAGAGCCTGGGAGTTCTCTTAATGCATTAGGATAAAAGCAAAGCCAAAGTGGCTGGAGGGAATGGTTGTGCTGGGAAATCCCATTGGCCTTAGCAGTGCTGCGGTGGCACGAGCCATATCCCCTTGTGTTCACCTTGGGCATCCTTCCTTGCAGGACATGTGGCAGCTCAGACCCTTCTGGACAGGGGGGTTTGGGTGACTTTTGGTGGTGTGGAGCTGATTTAAGACCTGAAATAAAGGATTTCCTCCGGGTCCAATGGTGTTAAACCCCATCTGGCTCCAAATGGTCCTATTTCTAATTACTTGGTGTTAGTGAGGCTGGAGGTGCGATCCCAACTAGCGTTGTGGTGGCAAACCACCCCTCAGATATGTTCTTGCGTTTGCCAAGCTGCCTTCACCCTTATTCTGTTTAATCACATGCAAAGAGCCATTTTGGGCTCTTTTCTGCTATTTTCTGCTGGTTTCTGCTAGATTTCCTTCGGGACCAGGGTCTGCTGAGGGCAATGAGGTGGAAACCCTCCAGGATGAGGTTAACTTTGGAGGTGACACTACAGGCGACCCCATTGGCATAGACACGCGACCATCAGCTGCTTAATGAAGCATGTAATTAGTTTATGTGGTGCTGGGAATCCAGGGAAGAGCTGGGAATCTAGGGAAGAGCCCTGCCAGTCCCTAACAGAGACATCAGAGGTGTTTGGGTGTCCCACTCATCCCTCTGCAAGGGGGGTGCACGCCTGAAGGGGGGATTAAAATGGTCCAGGCAGGGGTGAGGTTGCATGTAGGGTGAGAGCAAGACCCTAGGGATGAAGAGGAGACCCTGGTGCTTCCATAACATCACAGCAAGTGATGCGTGAGCATGGAAAAGGGCTGGATCAGGAGGTGAAGATGCCCAGGATGGGGTTGTTCTCACTCTGGGCTCAGGATAGCAAGTGGTGGGACTGGGTAGAAGGATTGTGCCATGTCCAGGGGGATTTTCCTTGTTTTCACCCTTGGAGGGAATGCCTACTCATTCCCACTGAGGGTTTTGGGTTGTCACATGGGAGAAGATAGATCCCAAGGCTCTGGTGGGGAAACTGAGGCAGAGCAGCATAAGTGACCCAAAACCCCAACCTGGCAGCACGTGGTGCTCCCAAAAGCACCCCAGGAGCTGGAAACATGCTATTTCCATGAATGGAGAACTGGCTTTTCCTCCAAAACCACCTCTCCAACGACGGGTGTCCTTCCTCCCATAACCCATCCCTCCTCCTCCTCCAAACCTGCTCCTGCACTCAGCAGGTCTGGACAAGCGCTGGATCCTGCCCAGGCTGATGCTCATCTCTGGGTGCCACCCTCCTTCCCAGCTCTAAGCTTCACCATGGCTGCCAGGGCAGCTTAGGGTTGGTCCCACCATGCAGGAGCTGATCCCTCCTGGGCTTTGCTCTGTCTCACACAGAATTAGATGTGGGCGATGGTTTTGGGTGGGTGTTTGGTGGGTTTTAATGACACCCTCTGAGTCCATCAGGAGAAAGGTACCTGTCACTGCCCAAACCTCCACTGTGGCCTTTGCCAGCATCCAAGTGAGATGATACCCAAAACCTGGGTTCCTCACCACGTGGGGATGTGGGATGAGGTGATGTAGAGCTTCATGTCACCCCAACCTCATGGTTTCATCCACTGGCTCTTTTTAGCTCAATTTAAGAGGAGGTGCAAGCCTTGAGGTGATGAGCACCAGTGCATGGAGCCCCACTGATGCCCAACGGTGAGAGTATGTCCCAACAATGTACGAGCCACCAGCAAATCCACAAGTAAAGCTGATTTTTATGGATGCTCCAGTGGGAGCATCTCCTGTGCCACCAGTACAAACGTTGCATTGATTCAGTATCAATGCATGTGGGGCAGAGCCCAACTGGCCAAGTCCTCTCTTGGGTTACAAGGGGCCACCACCACGCTCCAGTCCATTCTGCTGCCTGCCCCAGCAGCCTGAGCACCCTGGTTTGGGGTTAAAAGCACCATGAGCAGGTCGGGTGATGGCCACCTCCTTGTCAGGGAAGGTATAAAGCCCTGGGCATGGAATGGCAGCAGCTTGACCCCCATGCAGGCCACAGAAACTGGGTTGGATGAGTTGAGGGCTGCTCAACTCTATCTTTAGGCATCCCACCATGTCCAGGCACCCCCATCATGGCCAGACACCCCACCATGACAGGACATCCCATTGTGTCCTAGCACCTTATTGTGCCCAGGCACCCCACCATAGCCAGACACCCCACCATGGTAGGACATCCCATTGTGTCCTAGCACCCTATTGTGCCCAGGCACCCCACCATAGCCAGACACCACACTACTTCCAGGCACCCCACCACAGCTGAACACCCTGCCACGACCTTCATTGCACTGGGCACCCCACCATGGCCAGGAACCCCATCACAGCCATGCACCCCACTGTGGCAAGACACCCCGCTGTGTCTGGACATCATGGTAGGGCTTCCCACCACAGCCATGTGCCCTACAGCCCATCACCCCACCATAGTAGAGCACCCCATCACAGCCAGGCACCTCACCACATTAGGACTTCCCACCATGGCCAAGCACTGCACAACCAGGCACCCCATCATGGTAGGACCCACCACCACAGCCAGACACCCCATAACCAGTCACCCCACCACGGTAGGACCCATCACCACAGCCAGACACCTCATAACCAGGCACCCCACCATGGTAGGACCCACCACCACAGCCAGACACCCCATAACCAGTCACCCCACCACGGTAGGACCCACCACCACAGCCAGACACCCCATAACCAGTCACCCCATCATGGTAGGACCCACCACCACAGCCAGGCACCCCATAACCAGTCACCCCACCACGGTAGGACCCACCACCACAGCCATACACCCCATCATGGTAGGACCCACCACCACAGCCAGACACCCCATAACCAGTCACCCCACCACGGTAGGACCCACCACCACAGCCAGGCCCCCTATACCCAGGTACCCCACCTGAGGTGGGCATCCCACCATCACATCCCCCTCATCAGCATGCCCCGACACTCACTTTCCCCCTCCACCTTCTCGGGCGTGCGGCTCCAGATGATCTGCCTGGTCTCCAGCTTCACCTGGAAGGTCCTTCTCTCCGGCCTCTGCGACTTCTTCTGGTAGAACAAGGTGAGGACGGTGCCCATCTCCAGGCAGCGGAGGATCCTGCCCATGTCCCCTGCCTCCATCCTGCCGTCCTCCAGGAAGCCATTGACGCTGTTGAGCCTGGCCATGGACATCTTCAGAGCGCGGCCATCGCCCGGCGGAGCCGCAGAGCCGGGGTTGTCTCATGCAGGAGAGGAGGAACCAAAGAGCCGACACCTCCCTGGGGACCGTCTCCGCTCGCCCCGGCTCTGGGTTTCCTCTATGGACAACGTCCCTTGGGCTGCACCGGGAGCCGGCCTTGGTGACGGTGGGGAGCAAAAGGCTGGGCTGGAGGTACCGCGACCTTCTCGCCGAGGTGGAATCCGGCCCCGGCGTTGGCATCCAGCGACGGGGGGAGAAGATGAGCAGCACCGGTGGCGTTGGCCTTGAGCTTCAGAACCGGGGGGGACACAAAAACCATCCGGCCCCTTTGCAGGCAAAAAAAATAAAAATAAGGGTGGTATTTTTACCACTCCCCAACCCCCCCAAAAAACAGCAAAGTCACCCCAAAATGATGCTGGTGGATCCCACCCCGGCCTCCGGGCCAAGCGGGGCCGGGGTTGGAAGAGGGGTGTGGAAAAGAGGTGCCGAGGGTGAGCGCTGGGAGCGGCGGGGTGGCGGTGGGGTGGGATGCGGGATGCGGGATGCGGGGTTGGGGTGGTGATGGGTGGAGAAGATAAAGGGGGTTCCCTCCGCTCTTCTCGTCTTCTCCTTAATTTCGGGCTGATGAAATGGACGCCCAGAGGAAACTGCAATCACACATGGCCGGAAAGAGATCAGAAAGGAATGGGAGGGAGGGGGGAAAAGCAAAGCAGGATCTTGGAGAAAGGAAAAGCCGAGCGGGAGGAAAAGGCGGCTGAGGGTGACATCTAGAGGAAGTCCGGATGGAGAAGTGGCTCTGGGAGGCTTCCAGGCCGTGCCACTTGCTTGTTTGGGTGGACAACCTGGTTGGTTGGTGAAAGGAAGGTGAAAGAGGCTGCTGCGGCTTTTAGATCCGGGTTGTCCCCGCTGCCACGCTGGTCACTGAAGCCCCACGAGTGACCAGAGTCATTGCTGGTATGAGTTCTGTCCGGCCTCAAATATAGGGGAAGAAAGGGGCTGGGGGCTGGGGAAGAAACACAGACAGAGGGGGGAAGGCAGCGAGGACAAGGCTTGGTGTCACAGCCCCTGTTTTGTCCCTTTGATGGGTGTCACAGCCCCTTTTTGACCATTTGATGGGTGTCACAGCCTCTGTTTTGTCCCTTTGATGGGTGTCACGGCCCTCTTTTGTCCCTTTGGTGGGTATCAGCCCCTGTTTTATCCCTTGGGTGGGTGTCAGCTCCTGTTTTGTCCCTTTGGTGGGTGCTGGATAGGTTATGGGGCAGATGCTTTGTGTTGGGATTTGGGGCAGGTGGGGTGTGAGGTGGGACCAGGGATGCAGGGGGTGGACAGGGTCTCTCTCCCCAGCCACACAGAATCATAGAATAGTTAGGGTTGGAAAGGACCTTAAGATCATCCAGCCCCAACCCCCCTGCCATGGGCAGGGACACCTCACACTAGACCATGTCAGCAAAGGCTCTGTCCAACCTGGTCTTGAACACTGCCAGGGATGGAGCATTCACAACCTCCCTGGGCAACCCATTCCAGTGCCTCACCACCCTAACAGGAAAGAATTTCCTCCTTAGATCCAATCTAAACTTCCCCTGCTTCAGTTTTAACCCATTACCCCTTGTCCTATCACTGCAGTCCCTAATGAAGAGTCCCTCCCCAGCATCCCTATAGGCCCCCTTCAGACACTGGAAGCTGCTGTGAGGTCTCCACGCAGCTTCTCTTCTCCAGGCTCAACAGCCCCAACTTCCTCAGCCTGTCTCCATACAGGAGGTGCTCCAGCCCCTGATCATCCTCGTGGCCTCCTCTGGACTTGTTCCAACAGTTCCATGTCCTTTTTATGTTGAGGACACCAGAACTGCACACAATGCTCCAGGTGAGGTCTCACAAGAGCAGAGTAGAGGGGCAGGATCACCTCCTTTGACCTGCTGGTCACGCTCCTTTTGATGCAGCCCAGGATACGGTTGCTTTCTGGGCTGCAAGCGCACACTGAAGCTGGCTCATGTTCATTTTCTCATCAACCAACACCCCCAAGTCCTTCTCCGCAGGGCTGCTCTGAATCTCTTCTCTGCCCAACCTGTAGCTGTGCCTGGCATTGCTCCGACCCAGGTGTAGGACCTTGCAACCTGGAGGGGTTCTGAGACTCCTGGATCATATCAGGGTCCTGGTGATACAGATTCAGGTACCTGGGGGTTAAGGTGATGGAGCTTCAGGCACCCTGGGGTCCCCATGATGGAGGCTCAGATACCTGGGGATCCCTGTGATGAAGGCTCAGGCAATGCCAGGTACCAGTGATGGAGGCTCAGGCACCCTAGGCTCCGGTGATGGAGGCTCAGCAGAGCCAGGGCTTTGCTAGCGGCCCTTGTGGGACAGAGGACACAGGAGATGGATGAGCAGGGAGCTGTGCAGACCATTCCAGAGCTAAAATTCATGGAGAAGAAGGCTTGACTTTAACTCTTGTCTTGCTGGAAACTCTGCTGTTCTTCTCCGTGATCTCATCCCAGAGGTTCCCAGGGCCCTGCGGTGGAGCACCAAGCAAGGGACATTTCCCAGCACTGAGAAGGATTTAGGGTCAGGAGAAACGTTCCACCCATGCTTGCACCCATCTGAATTGCAGCAATGGGAGCTGAGAAGAGCAATGGCCCCTATGGTGGTGGCACATATGGACCCGCTGGAAAGCACTGGGGTCATGGCACGGGGCATGCCAACACATCTTGGTACTCACACATTGAAGGGGCTGCAAATTAAAGCAGTTTGTACCTTTACACCTAAAAACATACAATGGTGGGCCAGAGACTTTGGAGCAGAGCACTCTCTCGGTGGTTTTTGCTGGTGCTGTCTCCAATTGCTTCTGCAGGGATGGAGATTTTGCCATCCCCAGCAGGACTTGGCCTGGGTGAAGCTCAGAAGTTCATTGATGCCAAGTGCAAGATCCTGCACCAAGGTTGTGGTGATCCCCAGTATCAGTATAGAGTGGGGATGGATGGATGGATGGATAGATGGATGGATGGATGGATGGATGGATGGATGGATGGATGGATGGATGGATGGATGGATGGATGAACGGATGGACGGATGGATGGACGGATGGATGGACGGATGCATGGATGGATGCATGGATGGATGGAGCAGCCCTGAAGAGAAGAACTTGGGATGCTGCGTGAGGAGAAGCTCCCCATGACCAGGCTTCAGTGAGCGCTTGAGCCCAGAACCCCCTCATGTGCTGGGCTGAACCCCAGAGTGTGAGCAGCAGCTCAGGGAGGGGATTCTGCCCCTCTGCTGCAGGAAGGGGAGACCTGAGAGCAGCTCCAGTGCCTAAAGGGGCTGCAGGGAACCTGGAAAGGGGCTTTGGACAAGGGCCTGTAGGGATGGGACAAGGAGAATGGCTTTAAGCTGCCAGAGGGGAGACTGAGATGAGCTCTTAGGCAGAAGCTCTTCCCTGTGAGGGTGCTGAGGCGCTGGCACAGGGTGCCCAGAGAAGCTGTGGCTGCCCCATCCCTGGCAGTGCTCAAGGCCAGGTTGGACACAGGGGCTTGGAGCACCCTGCTCTAGTGGAAGGTGTCCCTGCCCATGGCAGAGGTTGGAGCTGGATGAGCTTTAGGCTGCCTTCCAGCCCAAACCATTCCATGGCTCTCTGGTGCTATTCCTTCAGTGAGGCTGGACATGTGGGGAGCAGCTTTGAGCCACATGAGAGTGTGGATGCAAGCAAGGATGAGGGCATTTAGGCTTTTACCCTCTTGAAGGCTGGACCCACATTAAGGGATGGCAAGGAGAGGTCCCATCTTTGAACTGAATGGCTCCAAAACTCCCAGTTCCCCAAGAATGTAGGGGACATACAGGATGAAAATGAGATCCTGGAGGTTATTTGTTTGGGTTTTTTCTTTCTTTATCCATGAACTAACTCCCATTTCCCCCTCGTCTCTGGAGCAGAAAAAGCTTTTGTTTGAGGCAATAAGCTGCAGAGATACTGGCTTCTTGTGTTCCTGTTTCCTATTTCCAGGCAAATCCCATTTTGGAGCCCCCTGAACACAAGGCTGGGAACTGATCTTCCCAACCACAGCGAGCTGCGGTGGATTGAGGATCAGAATAGCAGACTGGTTGCACACAGGGGATTTGACAGCCTGGGTTTGGCTTCTGATGTCCATCCAAACACGAGGGTGGAGAAGGAATGCTTTGGGTTTAGTCTGCAATGGAGGCACTGCTTTAATTTCAGCTTCTCTGCAGTCAAGCTTTAAGCAAGGCACTGCCAAAGCAAAGCACCCAATGGAGGGTGGAGGGGGTAGAGGAGCTGGAGCTTCCCTCTCACCCACATGTGACCCCCAGTGTGCATCACCCACCCAAACTGGTGATGCTGAGCACCCAAAATCCATGTGTTTCTCTTAAAACCCTGACGTGATTCATCTGTGTGGGTCAGAGGAGGTGTTAGGTCGCGATGGAGCTGTCAGTGTCGATGCTGGGAGGGTAGAGCTGTGTTCAATGAGACATGGATGTGCCAAAGGACCTTTGTTTGGTGCAAAGCTCCACCAAGGGGTGCCAGTAAGCCCCCACCAAAACACAGAGGAGCTTTGTGAGACCCCACTTGCAGCACTGGGTACAGTTCTGGGGTCCTCAGCATAAGAAGGACATGGAGCTGTTGGAGCAAGTCCAGAGGAGGCCATGAGGATGAGCAGGGGCTGGAGCACCTCCTGTATGGAGCCAGGCTGAGAAAGTTGGGGCTGTTCAGCCTGGAGAAGAGAAGCTGCGTGGAGACCTCAGAGCAGCTTCCAGTGTTCCAGGGCTGCAAGGATGCTGGAGAGGGACTCTTTGTCAGGGACTGGAGCAATAGGACAAGGGGTGATGGGTTCAAACTGAAACAGGGGAAGTTCAGGTTGGATACAAGCCAGGAGTTCTTCCCTGTGAGGGTGCTGAGGTGCTGGCACAGGGTGCCCAGAGAAGCTGTGGCTGCCCCATCCCTGGCAGTGTTCAAGGCCAGGTTGGACACAGGGGCTTGGAGCACCCTGCTCTAGTGGAAGGGGTCCCTGCCCGTGGCAGGGGTTGGTGTTGGATGAGCTTTAAGGTCCCTTCCAACACAAACCATTCCATGCAGCTATGGTCCAGCTTCAGTTGTGAAGGAGGTAGAACTTTGCTCCCTAAGCACTTGGGATTTGGACTTTTCCCTGCTCGGGCAGAAATCCATCTACTGACAATTAAATATTTGCTTTAGAAATACACTTTTCCAACCAGAGCTCTCCTGCAAAACGTGCTCTACCAGGGATCTGAGCTTCTCCCTGTCTACTGTGGTTGCAACACCAGCCGCTGTTGCAACATTCCCACGTTGCATGACCTGGAATTCATGGCTAAAAACATTGGCAGATCCTTTTGG